TCTGAAGATGTATTAATATACGAAAGTACTTAAGGAAATTCATGTTTCATTTTTCCTCCGTGGTCTGACATTGTCATCTTATAATATATATCATTGGAAGGGAAGATAATTATATATTATCAGAAACAGGGAAGAGACTAAGAGATATTATCTACCAAGTTCTGTCTTGGTATGGACAAAATTCTACTGTACACACCGGTTCTGATTTTGTTTCCGGTCATTTTGTTTTATTGATTTGTCACAACATACAAAATAAGATACTAAAACACACAAACCGCTTGTGATGGGATCCCTGGATCTGAATGTTCTCGTAATCCATCCTATCATTTTTCTGGCTGACACAATATTTGCTTGGTTATGTTCCCTAAACATTAGGTCGTCAGACATCATTATTCCCAAATCCTTGACATGCTGTTTTCCTACTATGGGCACATTTGATTGTGTTTTGTACCCTGTATTATGTTTAAGGTCCTCATTTTTGCCGTACCTGAGTACCTGGAATTTATCACTGTTAAACATCACATTATTTTCTACTGCCCAGTCGAAAACTTTATTAATATCTGCTTGTAGTTTTCCAATGTCTTCAGCAGAGGTAATTTTCATGCCGATTTTTGTGTCGTCTGCAAAGGATGATACGAAGCTGTGACTTGTATTTTTGTCTATATCTTATAAGAAAATAAGTTAAAGCAGTGGCTGAGCTTTTAACAGCACTTGGACTCAAACTTATATGGTTGACTGTTACTCATTGTATTCTGTTCGACAGACAACCAAGTATCCAGCGTCCTACTTTACCAGTTATACCCATAGGGGAATGTCAAGGGCTCCAGACTATACAGGGAGGGCCACAGCTGACTCCTGCCCTGTCCTGCCTGCCTTCCACGTCAGCAGGGATTACTGCTGACGCAGGAGGCAGGCAGTCTACCCAGCACTCTGTCTTATAATGCTTTGAAATTACTGTACTAACAGTTTTGGCCCCCACCACTTTCTCACTTAGTTGGTTAAATGCAGTGAATGCAAAGTGAAGCAGTACTTGAAGGCTTCGTTTAAAGAACCATTGGAACTGGGACAACTCACCTCCATGGGAGAGAACGCACCATCACTGCCTTCGCTGCAGACCACCTTCTCAAACTCTTCAGTGTCTGTTTCAGACTCGTGGTGCTCCCTGCAGATGACATTATTAATGAAATACTCTCATAAATAACGTGACCCACACCATATACAAAACACAATTACTGTGACAACCTTTTGGTCCATTTTGGAGTCTTATTCAGTAGTGACATAATAAAGTCCAGGATGAACCCGAAAGTTACTCTTTTAATTATCGTGACTTTTTCTCTTCACAATTAATATCGTTGAGAGATTATCTAGAAAAACACCATTGAACAGTATGAAGGAAAATTCAACACTGCAACCCCCTCACTTGACAAATTAATACTTCATATATATAAATTATGACTATCCTACCTCTCACCTTCAGCGTACTGACCTCATCCCATCCTTGTTTTGCACTTTATCACATGTATCTGTGGCACATGTATCTGTGGCACCTGTGATAAAGCCCTTACAGACAATATGTCCTCTACTCTTAATTAATTAATATCAAGTCTTGTATTGGCCTTTCTCTACATCATTGTCAATTTTCTCTTCTCTTAAACGTCTTACAATATTAAAGAACTTCAATTTCACAAGTCAAATTGACCTGAGAAACTCATTCATAGAACAAGACGTGTCATCGTGTTGTCAAACATTCTATCATATTTTACAAGGAGAGAGCGAGGCAAGCTAGGACTAACAAGAACACACAAACTGTCCCAGATAAGCCACACCCTAATACCAATCTCACAGGTACTGTAGCTCTAGCCAGTTGCTAACCTTGTGAGTGAAGGCGGTTGCAACTGCTGGCCTCTAGCAATGGTGTCTCGGTCGGGTGTGTTGCGGGGAGTGACCGAAGTGGTTGTAGTGACAGCCGAGGCGTACACATCCCCACTTCCTTCCTTCAAGTGCATCTCGCTCACCCTGGAATATAACAATGGATTAACCATCTCCAGCGTCTTGTTACGAAGGTCAACCGTCTCCAGCTTCTTGTAACAAAGGTTAACATCTCAAGCGTCTTGTAACAAAGGTTAACATCTCTAGCGTCTTGTAACAAAGGTTAACATCTCAAGCGTCTTGTAACAAAGGTTAACATCTCAAGCGTCTCGTAACAAAGGTTAACATCTCTAGCGTCTTGTAACAAAGGTTAACATCTCTAGCGTCTTGTAACAAAGGTTAACATCTCAAGCGTCTCGTAACAAAGGTTAACATCTCTAGCGTCTTGTAACAAAGGTTAACATCTCTAGCGTCTTGTAACAAAGGTTAACATCTCTAGCGTCTTGTAACAAAGGTTAACATCTCAAGCGTCTCGTAACAAAGGTTAACATCTCAAGCGTCTTGTAACAAAGGTTAACATCTCAAGCGTCTCGTAACAAAGGTTAACATCTCAAGCGTCTTGTAACAAAGGTTAACATCTCAAGCGTCTTGTAACAAAGGTTAACATCTCAAGCGTCTTGTAACAAAGGTTAACATCTCTAGCGTCTCGTAACAAAGGTTAACATCTCAAGCGTCTTGTAACAAAGGTTAACATCTCTAGCGTCTTGTAACAAAGGTTAACATCTCAAGCGTCTTGTAACAAAGGTTAACATCTCAAGCGTCTCGTAACAAAGGTTAACATCTCTAGCGTCTTGTAACAAAGGTTAACATCTCAAGCGTCTTGTAACAAAGGTTAACATCTCAAGCGTCTCGTAACAAAGGTTAACATCTCAAGCGTCTCGTAACAAAGGTTAACATCTCTAGCGTCTTGTAACAAAGGTTAACATCTCTAGCGTCTTGTAACAAAGGTTAACATCTCTAGCGTCTCGTAACAAAGGTTAACATCTCAAGCGTCTTGTAACAAAGGTTAACATCTCTAGCGTCTTGTAACAAAGGTTAACATCTCTAGCGTCTTGTAACAAAGGTTAACATCTCAAGCGTCTTGTAACAAAGGTTAACATCTCAAGCGTCTTGTAACAAAGGTTAACATCTCTAGCGTCTTGTAACAAAGGTTAACATCTCCAGCTTCTCGTAATAAAGGTTAACATCTCTAGCGTCTTGTAACAAAGGTTAACATCTCCAGCTTCTCGTAATAAAGGGCTAATCATCAGGGGATTGATTCTCTTAAGAAATAGTCAATATTTTTCAACCATTCAAACTGCCAAATATATTGCCAATCATCCAGACTATAAGCCCCTTCATCAATCATATGGTCCCTTAAACATTCACTATTATCATTCATTGACCATGGGCCAGATTCACGAAGCAGTTACGCAAGTACTTATGAACGTGTACATCTTTCCTCAATCTTTGAAGGCTTTGGTTACATTTATTAAACAGTTTACAAGCATGAAAACTTGCCAATCAACTGTTGTTATTGTTACAAACAGCCTCCTGGTGCTTTGGAGCTCATTAACTGTTTAATAATTGTAAACAAAGCCGCCAAAGATTGAGACAAGATGTACAGGTTCGTAAGTGGTTGCGTAACTGCTTCGTGTATCTAGCCCTATATCGGTGGGGAGCCGGACTTTACCCAACGACGGAAGGGTCTGCCTCTCCCGCCTCCTCCCATGTTAAGGGTAGCTGGGGAGCAACACCACACTTACCTGGGAGTTTGAATGGTTGTAACCTGGGATTGTAGTGCACTCTGCAACAATGGTGGAACAGCCATGACTTCTTTGACCACCAGCATGGACGCGAGCTCTGGCAGTATTGCTCGTAGCTCGTCAATGTTCTCTTTTGTCAGCTGCAAAATTGATTTAGAAACTGTAATCATAATAAATTATACCTATGTCTATTCGTGATTTGGCAACTGCACTGAACAAAGTTAAAACCCATAGAACTGTTGAACACCATTTACAGCTGTGAATAAGACCCTTCTTTCACACACACACACACACATACACGTACGTTGAACACGTGGCAATAAAAAGAGCATCCAACATTGACGAGGACCAGAAAACCCCAAACGAAATACAGTACAACATTATTGACAAGAACATACACATGTCAATGTTGTATTCTGAAGCAAAACTGATTATGGAATGTGAAACATCTGTCTAAATATCAATATGAGCAGACATGATATAAAAGAACATACATACAAGATGCTCGAGTGAGATCGCACGTTGGCCTACCATAGGGCACAAAGCCATCATGTTAGTCTGGGACAGTGGTTACCTGGTACTGTATCTCCTTAACACGTACGAAATCTCAATCGTTTCATTACCTCACTAAAAATGCTAAACAATCAACGTAAACACTGCAGGCAACGTCGGCCGAGCAGACAGCACGCTGGACTTGTGATCCTGTGGTCCTGGGTTCGATCCCGGGCGCCGGTGAGAAATAATGGGCAGAGTTTCTTTCACCCTATGCCCCTGTTACCTAGCAGTAAAATAGGTACCTGGGTGTTAGTCAGCTGTCACGGGCTGCTTCCTGGGGGTGGAGGCCTGGTCAAGGACCGGGTCGCGGGGACAGTAAAGCCCCGAAATCATCTCAAGATAATCTCAAGATAACGTGCAGAAGGTTTACCCTGGTAGAGCACGAACTATGCGGTAATGACTTCATATTTTCGGAGAAATACCCAGGGGTACAATGAATATTTTACAGTTCAACCCTCACCAGAGAATTGATTAATGACTATTAAAAAAATTCTAACAATACATTTTATTCACAGTGTGAGTAATTGGAGGTTTGTTTTTGGTTTAATGATATGTAAGTTTGGGTTAAAAAAATCATCTGCCTGCAGCCATTTGTTTATTTTTTGCGAGGCTTGAGGTGAGGCCTCCCGAACCATGGCAGAGTTTGTCCTTCATAGAGTGGCATCTAAGATGGAACCTAATTCTAATTCCCCGACTAACACGTTATATACCTGTCTTAAAAATGAAAACCCTGCATAATGTAACAAGTGCGGTACTGTATGTACAATCCTTAGGAACGGGGAAGTACCTTGGGCAGAGTGTCATCGAATTTGTTGGGTGGCTGGGTGGCGAAGTCGGGCGGGAGGTCGTCCATACCAGGGAAGAGAATGGCGAGGAAGTGCGACGAGAAGTGCTGGATGAACTGCTGCCTGGTCGTCAACTCCTGTTGCCACACTTCCCAACTCTCCTTGCTCAATATTGTCGCCCACTACACCCACAATGACAACCATGAATTACATTAACCAACAATACAGTGTAAACCACTTGACAAATGTTTGTATAACCCCAGAGGTTATTAAAAACAAAGCATATACAATATATAAATAAACTCAAATTGTTCAAGTGGATGACCAGTCCACTGATCCAACACACAAGTGCATGAAAGCTGTATTTGGATAACATTTACAGGAGAAAAAAGGTTTTCATATTTATGGTTTAAAATAAGTTATGACACATTCACACTCCACAACCTAAGCCCCGCCACCACACACACACACACACACACACACACACACACACACACACACACACACACACACACACACACACACACACACACACACACATAATAACAGGCCAGTCTTAGAGTATGCCGCCTCATCATGGAGTCCCCATCTGAAGAAGCATATAATGAAACTGGAAAAGGTTCAGAGGTTTGCAACGAGACTCGTCCCAGAGCTACGAGGGATGGGGTATGAAGAGCGCCTGAGGGAACTGTGCCTTACGACACTAGAAAGAAGAAGGGAGAGGGGGGACATGATAGGAACGTATAAGATACTCAGAGGAATTGACAGAGTGGACATAGACGAAATGTTCACACGGAATAGTAACAGAACGAGAGGACATGGATGGAAGCTTGAAACTCAGATGAGTCACAGAGATGTTAGGAAGTTTTCTTTTAGCGTGAGAGTAGTGGGGAAATGGAATGCACTTCAGGAACAGGTTGTGGAAGCAAATACTATTCATAATTTTAAAACCAGGTATGATAGGGAAATGGGACAGGAGTCATTGCTGTAAACAACCGATGCTCGAAAGGCGGGATCCAAGAGTCAATGCTCGATCCTGCAAGCACATATAGGTGAGTACACATTTTTAAATGTGTGTGTGTGTGTAAATAAATGATATGTAAAATGATACGTAAATGATATGTTTACAGGAGTGGAATCATACATGTCAATGTTTGCAGATGACGCAAAATTAATGAGAAGAGTTGTGACAGACGAGGATTGTAGGATCCTCCAAGAGGACTTAAACAGGCTGCAGAGATGGTCAGGGAAATGGCTACTGGAGTTTAACACCAGTAAATGTAAAGTTATGGAAATGGGATCAGGTGACAGGAGACCAAAGGGACAGTACACAATGAAGGGGAACAGCCTACCTGTAACGATTCGAGAAAGAGACCTGGGAGTGGATGTGACACCTAATCTAACTCCTGAGCACATATAAATAGGATAACGACAGCAGCGTACTCTACACTGGCGAAAATTAGAACTTCATTCAGAAACCTAAATGAGGAAGCTTTTAGGGCGCTTTACACTGCCTACGTGAGACCCGTCTTAGAGTATGCCGCGCCATCATGGAGTCCCCACCTGAAGAAACACAAAGAAACTGGAGAAGGTTCAGAGGTTTGCGACGAGGCTTGTCCCAGAGCTACGAGGGATGGGATATGAAGAGCGGCTGAAGGAACTGAACCTTACGACACTAGAGAAAAGAAGGGAGAGAGGAGATATGATAGGGACATATAAAATACTCAGGGGAATTGACAAAGTGGAAATAGATGAAATGTTCACACGTAATAATAACAGAACGAGGGGACATGGGTGGAAACTGGAAACTCAGATGAGTCACAGAGATGTTAGGAAGTTTTCTTTTAGCGTGAGAGTAGTAGAAAAATGGAATGCACTTGGGGAACAGGTTGTGGAAGCAAATACTATTCATACTTTTAAAACTAGGTATGATAGGGAAATGGGACAGGAGTCATTGCTGTAAACAACCGATAGCTAGAAAGGCGGGATCCAATAATCAATGCTCGATCCTGCAAGCACATATAGGTGAGTACATATAGGTGAGTACACACACACACACAACTCTAAACCAACCACGAGGACCATGAAGATAATAATAGTAGGTGTTACTTAGAACCATTAACCATAGGAAGGTCAAGGGAGGAATAAGATAAATGTAAAGAAACGTGCCTGAAGACAATAGAAAAAATAAACTACAGTAGCAAGAAGAGCCAGAGCAAACATGCTAATACTTGGGGATTTTAACCCCAAGGAAATAGATTGATCAGCAAAGGATCCTCACGGGGAAGATGAGACATGGAGAGCAAGATTTGTGGACACTACAAACACTCCCAGAGACAGCATATCAAGCAGCCAAGTTAGAGAATGAGGTGGTGATCTACCAGCTGCCCTAGACCTGGTGTTGACCCAAAATGAAGGTGATGTAGGGAACTAAAGACAAGAGGTATAAGAAATATTGCCGGAACAACCGTGGACATCTTCAACAGAAAACTTGATAGTTTTCTTCAAGCAGTGCCGGACCAATTAGGCTGTGGTGGATATGTAGGCCTGTGGCCCACTCCAAGCAACAGCTTGTTGAACCAAACTCTCACAAGTCAAGCCTGGCCTCGGGCCGGGCTTGGGGAGTAGTAGAACTCCCAGAACCCCATCAAGCAGGTATATGTAGGCCTGTGGCCCACTCCAAGCAACAGCTTGTTGAACCAAACTCTCACAAGTCAAGCCTGGCCTCGGGCCGGGCTTGGGGAGTAGTAGAACTCCCAGAACCCCATCAAGCAGGTATATGTAGGCCTGTGGCCCACTCCAAGCAACAGCTTGTTGAACCAAACTCTCACAAGTCAAGCCTGGCCTCGGGCCGGGCTTGGGGAGTAGTAGAACTCCCAGAACCCCATCAAGCAGGTATATGTAGGCCTGTGGCCCACTCCAAGCAACAGCTTGTTGAACCAAACTCTCACAAGTCAAGCTTGGCCTCGGGCCGGGCTTGGGGAGTAGTAGAACTCCCAGAACCCCATCAAGCAGGTACCGGTAGGAGTCGGTGACCATTGTGTTATCATGTTTTATTACATTATAAAACTTAAGAGACAAAGGACAAGGAGCAGGAGAGAACACAGAAGAGAGGACTACAGGAGGGATAGGGATTATCTCCACAAGTCCCAACGAGAAGCTGAAATAGGAAGCAGCAAATGAGATGATGGAACTCGTAACACAGAAATGCCAAGAAGCAATGGAACGGTTCATACCTCTCAGGAGGGAAGTGGATGAAGAAAGAATGGCAAAGGGAAACACATCACACACACACTCCACAAGGACACTAAACCGAGCCTCCCAAGAGTAGACGGTATCATCCAACACACCTGAACAAAAGACTGAGAGAAGGTATGTCGACGTGCGACCTCGGTGATGGCTTCGACGTAAACCTGAGGAGCTCGGTGAATCTGCTCCACCACCTGCAGCAGCCCCGTGAGGCGGCGAACGTTCTCAGTGTGCATAGTCAGCTTGCTGTCCAGTTCATACAGCTTCCTCTCTATGTACATGATCCACCTGAAACAAACCAATCACAGGTAACCGTTATGCTCCGCCAGTCGCTATTTGCAATTTCTTCTCGTGCTCCAATCACCACACAGGTGGGGTTTTCCTCCCATCTGACGTGTTAAATATTTTTAATCATGCAAGCTTCTACATATAATACTCTTAAATACCTGCACCATTTAAAAGGGTAATAGATGATGAAAAATGTCAACTGGTCAAATATCTTATGCCAATCTTAAAACATATCAAAACAAATGGCACTCCCACATTACTTCCACATTAAGGCACTCACACAGTACAGAACAACGTCTGAAAATTCACATTATATCACACACGATGACCACACCATGCAAAATTACTCCATATTCTTTACCCCAGGGCACAATCCACTATTATTCATAACCAAATTATTATTTTATTTATTATTTTTGACTAGAGTACAGCTACCGTCGCCCATTTGTCTTTTACGCACACAAGTTTAGGATGAAACCTCAAGAGTGAGGCTGTGTGTAAAGAGTGAGGCTGTGTGTATGCAAGTGGTGTTCACCTTCTATTGGGAGGAGATTTTCCAGCTGCAAGAACTACGCGAGACACTCAGTCACTAGACCAAAGGATCAACTCCGAACCATGATGTATGTACTGTGAACCATGATGTATGTACTGTGAACCATGATGTATGTACTGTGAACCATGATGTATGTACTGTGAACCATGATGTATGTACTCTGAACCATACTCTGAAGCAAGGTGTACTCTGATCCATGATGTATGTACTGTGAACCATGATATATGTACTGTGAACCATGATGTATGTACTGTGAACCATGATGTATGTACTGTGAACCATGATGTATGTACTCACTTTAACCTGACGTGCAAATTCTCGGAAAGTTCATCCTTGGCTTTACTGCATCTTTTTCTGATCTCTTGAACCTGCCGACAAAATGCAAACTTTAAAACATAACCACAGTATAATAATGTTTATATTATTTATAACATATATATAATATATTATTTATAACATATAAAAATATATTATTTATAACATATAAATAATATATTATTTATAACATATAAATAATATATTATTATAACCACATTATAATAATCGAGACACTAGGAGACAATGTGCAGGTGGAAAACACAACTATTTGATGAAAGTGCCGACATTGATATAAAGAAGCACAGAGATGGGCGCTTTGAATTTGTGGTAATGTTCAAGGGGGACCTGACGGCTGAGTAGAGAGCGCTCGGGTTTCGTAGTCCTCAGGTTCAGGGTTCAATCCCCCCGGTGGAGGCAAAAACAAATTGGGGAGTTTCTTTCACCCTGATGGGCCTGTTCACCTAGCAGTAAATAGGTACCTAGGAGGAGTTAGACAGCTGCTCCGGGCTGCTTCCTGGGGGTGTGTAACAAAAAGGAGGCCTGGTCGAGGACCGGGACGCTAAGTCCCGAAATCATCTCGAGATAATCTGTCAAGTTGTTAAATCTAGCAGTCTACCTACACTTGAAACACAGGGCATATGCTAAAAAGTAAAGGTAGAAGTGAGAGGTCAGGGGGGAGGTGGGGCAAGGTCCCTGATGACAGAGATCTATGTGGAACACCCACGATGGAAATTCTTCCCTGCCCCCCCCCCCTCCCTAATGCTGACCTGAATGAGGGGGATATCTTTAAGTGACACCCTAATCATGCAAAGTTCCCAGTCAATCTCCTGTACATTTGAAAACAAAAAATTCCCATAAAAAAAGATAGGACTCCGAGGTTACAGAAGTTATGAGAATACAGGAACACCCCGAAATACTGCAACAGATGCCTCGCATAATATTCAAGACTATACACAAGCCTCGCATAATATTCAAGCCTATACACAAGCCTCGCATGATATTCAAGCCTATACACAAGCCTCGCATAATATTCAAGACTATACACAAGCCTCGCATAATATTCAAGCCTATACACAAGCCTCGCATGATATTCAAGCCTATACACAAGCCTCGCATAATATTCAAGACTATACACAAGCCTCGCATAATATTCAAGCCTATACACAAGCCTCGCATGATATTCAAGCCTATACACACGCCTCGCATAATATTCAAGCCTATACACACGCCTCGCATGATATTCAAGCCTATACACAAGCCTCGCATAATATTCAAGCCTATACACAAGCCTCGCATGATATTCAAGCCTATACACACGCCTCGCATAATATTCAAGCCTATACACACGCCTCGCATGATATTCAAGCCTAGACACACGCCTCGCATGATATTCAAGCCTATACACAAGCCTCGCATGATATTCAAGCCTATACACACGCCTCGCATGATATTCAAGCCTATACACATGCCTCGCATGATATTCAAGCCTATACACAAGCCTCGCATAATATTCAAGCCTATACACAAGCCTCGCATGATATTCAAGCCTATACACACGCCTCGCATAATATTCAAGCCTATACACACGCCTCGCATGATATTCAAGCCTATACACACGCCTCGCATGATATTCAAGCCTATACACAAGCCTCGCATAATATTCAAGCCTATACACAAGCCTCGCATGATATTCAAGCCTATACACACGCCTCGCATAATATTCAAGCCTATACACACGCCTCGCATAATATTCAAGCCTATACACACGCCTCGCATGATATTCAAGCCTATACACAAGCCTCGCATAATATTCAAGCCTATACACAAGCCTCGCATGATATTCAAGCCTATACACACGCCTCGCATAATATTCAAGCCTATACACACGCCTCGCATGATATTCAAGCCTATACACACGCCTCGCATGATATTCAAGCCTATACACAAGCCTCGCATAATATTCAAGCCTATACACAAGCCTCGCATGATATTCAAGCCTATACACACGCCTCGCATAATATTCAAGCCTATACACACGCCTCGCATAATATTCAAGCCTATACACACGCCTCGCATGATATTCAAGCCTATACACAAGCCTCGCATAATATTCAAGCCTATACACAAGCCTCGCATGATATTCAAGCCTATACACACGCCTCGCATAATATTCAAGCCTATACACACGCCTCGCATGATATTCAAGCCTATACACACGCCTTGCATAATATTCAAGCCTATACACATGCCTCGCATAATATTCAAGCCTATACACACGCCTCGCATAATATTCAAGCCTATACACACGCCTCGCTTAATATTCAAGCCTATACACATGCCTCACATAATATTCAAGCCTATACACACGCCTCGCATGATATTCAAGCCTATACACACGCCTCACATGATATTCAAGCCTATATACACGCCTCGCATAATATTCAAGCATATACACACGCCTCGCATAATATTCAAGCCTATACACACGCCTCGCATAATATTCAAGCCTATACACACGCCTCACATAATATTCAAGCCTATACACATGCCTCGCATGATATTCAAGCCTATACACACGCCTCGCATAATATTCAAGCCTATACACATGCCTCGCATGATATTCAAGCCTATACACACGCCTCGCTTAATATTCAAGCCTATACACACGCCTCGCATAATATTCAAGCCTATACACACGCCTCGCATAATATTCAAGCCTATACACACGCCTCGCATAATATTCAAGCCTATACACACGCCTCGCATAATATTCAAGCCTATACACACGCCTCACATAATATTCAAGCCTATCTGCCTTGCAAATACAGGTAGTACCCGTATCTCCTCCATCTATCCCCAACTAGGAAACGGAGCAACAACGAGTCAATAGTGTTTGAACAAGTCAATAGTGTTTGCTTCACCTACCCGGAGGTGATTTTTGAGCATGTGACTCAGGTTCTTGCGGTGAGAGGTACACAGGTCCGGGAAGATAGACGGGTCATTCACTTTCCCTGCACGATTTTGGTTCTGTAGTAGTGCCTGAAAATATTTACAATATATGAGTAATGTTGCAGACAAATGACAAAACATGACAAAGGTGTCAAAGATACTAAACTCACTATACATTTATAGTTTTATCACCATCTTTCTCTCTTCACCTTCACACAATTTTGGAAATGACGTGCTTGGAAACTAACCTGAAATAGTACAATGTTATTTGAGGAAAATGTTTCCTCAAATGAAAATGTGGGTGCATATGTGACCACTTGCATTCACAAACAAATAACCAACTCTGCAGGAAATCTAATGACCAATACCTGATATATATTTACTACAGACATCAATTTACACTACAGTCAATCAACTGTCCTATGACAAGTCTGGCACCTCGAAGACCGATAAAGAAAATGGATAAACAAAATAAAATAAACCTCAATACGTTATGAATATGAATGTGATTTAACCTCGATATGAAATGCTGTTTCATCATCCTGGACCCCTTATAAAATAGTGACTTGACAAGGGTTCACAGCAGACTGAAAAATCGTCACTTTCATTTCATTTCAATGTTTGTTTTGGGTTATTTGTTTCAGCCATTTAATTGTGATTATTTCTCTGCCTATATAACAAATATTTTGCCATTAATAATGCATAATGAAGTGTAGAAAGCAATATATGATGAATATATCACTACAAAGTACCACACAATAGCACTTAATAGCAATACCCAACAGTGTCAGGATCAGCATCAACAATTGTCCAAAGCATTCCTTCTAGCATCTTGACCCGACTAACCTCGGCAATGATGTTTTGTTCCTGGACGATCTTGTTGGACTCGTGCATCAGCTGTTCGAGGCCAAAGAGCCGTTCGCCGAGGCCCTTAATCTCCTTCATCTGTGAGCGGTCTGCTTCCTGAATAGCTGCCGATACCTCAGCTTCCAACTGAATCAACATTGGTTCATTGATCTGAAACAGTTTGATAATAATGTTATGCACAATTGTCAGTGATGAGAAACTGTAGGCAACTAAACACTACAGTAATAGACTGGAATACAGTATTCACTCAATTTAACGGCCTCTTTTATACCGATCTGCCGGTAATAATGACCGGTTTGGGAGATCGGTATCTGGAGCCTCGTATGCCGGTCTGGCGATCGATATTACCGACGGTCGGTATTGGGTTTGTTTTGGCATCGGTGGCTCCTCACACGGCGACCGGGCCACCGACCTCGATCATCCAGAATCGTATATTAAATCTTAACTTTCTTTTAAAATGATTCAGTTTAATGAAGAAAATTCTAAATTATTATTAATAAAATATTTTTGAACAATTGTTATTAAGCAAAATTTTTTTGTTTTCTTATTAAATACCTTTTATAGTATAGGCAATAGGTATTTTTTCCCACGGACCGAGAATGTACTGCGTCGGGCCATGTGTCGGCATTGTTTACTGTGAACTCGCGCGACTGAGAGCAATGTCTTAAGACTATTAACCAGAGAAAATCAGATTCAGACAAAAATAGGTAAATTCATGATTTCAACGGTTCGTGAAAGCACCTGCTGGGAATTCAACAAGTCATGCAGCCTCCGCTGGCAACAAGTGCCCTACATGCCATGCTGCACCCGCCGATGCTGAATTCCCATCGACAAGTCATGGAGCATCCGCCGGCAACGAGTGCCCTACATGCCATGCTGCACCCGCCGATGCTGAATTCCCATCGACAAGTCGTACAGCCTCCGCCGGCAATGAATGCTCTGCAAGCTATGCTGCACCCGCCGATGCTGAATTCCCATTGACAAGTAATGGAGCAACCGTCAGCAACGAATGCTCTGCAAGCCATGTTGCACCCGCTGATGCTGAATTCCCATCAAAAGTCATGCAGCCTCCACTAACGATATAAAATATGATTGAAAGGCATATAAATTACTGTAAGAAGTGTTGATAGAATACAGTATTGTAAGTGTTAATGATTATTTAAGCCTTGACAAAAAGATACTGTACAGTGTAAATATACAGTAGAAATAATTTTCAATTGTGAATTAGAATTAGAACTCATGTGAATTAGTAGTAAGGCTAGCTGTTGTGTGAAGTGAATGGCTGAAAATAAGTGTACATACTGTATGTATCCTGTATATAGTACTGAACAATATAAAACAAGCACTGCAGAGGATGACGTAATCTTCACAGCTTCGTAATCTTCAGCTTCATTAGAAGTCAGTCAGTTTACCAATTTTATTACTGTATAGTACAGTATTACAACATTTTTTTTTTTTTCAACAAAAGCTACATATTAGTCTCTGCAAATGTATATTCTATCATTAGCAGAGAAAAAGTGAACTCAAAATATTTCGTCTTGGCTAGCTCTCAGTGACAAGGCTCGATCGCCATTGTATGGCCTGGCCACCACAGCCTGTGTCATAACATTAAAAATACATTACCTGCACTGTACAGGGAAAAACAAAACACATCTCTAAAATGTTATTGAGAAAATATTAACAATCACTGATTGATACATAAAATATTTTGCTATACAAAGGAATGAACCAATTTTTCCCCACCCATCTGGTCTTGATCAATGTGTGTTCACACATCATCCATGCAGCAGCCAACAGCTGGCTTAATGGTCGGCGTGGCACTAAATTGGAACGCAATTACACAATGAACTTTATTCATTTTAGTTATACAGTATAAAATATATCCAACCTGAATGTTACTTGAAAAATTACCCGACCCGACTTAACTTCAGAAATACCGGAGCTCCTGAAATAACGACCAGGGGTACAGCCCCATATAGGCCGTTAAATTGAGTGGATACTTATGCATCTAGCAACCGAATGCAAGAGAGATTCATTCGAATACTGTGAACGACCAAAAACTAGATCAAAGGACTGCAATGAAAAACTGTCAATGGACTGGGATTCAGTGGACAACCAAAACACAATATTGATGGATTGACATACTTAGGGGAACAAAATGCTCCCAGCTGGTAGTACTGAATTATGCTCTTTAGGATTATTCATCAGAAACATTTTGGGAAAGAACTTATTTGATGACCCCATTACGGATTGGCAGAAATACAGTGAAGTACTTGAACGATACAATTTATTTAATAAATCATCGTGTAGAGACTTTTCCATTGTGATGGGATGGGAAAGGTACAAGGCCACGGGTGTCGTGTAGCTGACCCACTTTGCTCAGTCAGTGTCCTTATGTCAGCCAACCTGGCATATGCCGCATGTTACCCTCTTGATAAGGGCTTCAGGGGACAGGTATGGCGTGATATCAACTCCCAGGTCTAAGTACCACAGTACCCGTACCACACGATACTGCCCAGCTCTAAGTCGGGCAATATCGTGTGGTGTTGTCACAGCTTCTAGTAATGTCGCAGCTTCTTGGTCGGCAATGGGGTGATCCCAGCTGGATTGCTTATGGGCTTCAGAAAGCAGTGGTTGGGGTGCTGGTCCTGCGAGAGAGACCCATTTGGTGGTGTAGTCTGTAAAGCTGGGATCATGTATGCCTGCCTGTTAAACTAGGTGCTCAGGTAGGATTTCCTTCACCAAGTTGTTAGACGCCACTGAAGAGGACAGAAACGCTGGTACCGCAATTTGTGTTGTTGTGCGCACACCGAGGCCCCCCGAGTCTGACAGGAAGGGAGGCCTGTTTCCACTGTGAGTCGCTGAGAGAAAGGTTGAGGGTTTTTTCTAGCATTGATTTCAGCAAGCTGTCATACTCTTCTAATTTAATATTATTATATATATATATATATATATATATATATATATATATATATATATATATATATATATATATATATATATATATATATATATATATATATATATATATATATATATATATATATATATATATATATATATATATATATATATATATATATATATATATATATATATATATATATATATATATATATATATATATATATATATATATATATATATATATATATATATATATATATATATATATATATATATATATATATATATATATATATATATATATATATATATATATATATATATATATAAACATGTTGTACTGAACAAGGCATGAATAGCTTGAGCTACCTCATCTCTTTGTGTGTATTTATTGTTTATACTTCAATAAACTTATATAAATTTAAATTCAATTTCAACCCTTCAACACCCCCTTCCCCCCCACCCACACAAACAAAAGTAAAGAAAGCAGCAACATTTTGGCCCATCCTGGATCCTAATAGAATCACACATGCACTACAATAAGGATCCCAATACTGTACAGAGAACATTAAATGATACATCACCTGCGTGAGGCCTCGAAAACAGAGCTTCGCAATCACTTCTACGTTGCTTTGGCTGTCTTTGGCACTGATCCATTCAAGCAGGCTCATTGGTGGCTTCACAGCGAGGTCAACTTTCTCTGAAAAAAAATAATAATAATAATAATAATAATAATAATCATCCCTGTATCATTCCGTATCGAGGTCCCTTTCCCTACAACAGTTGCTCAACTGTTAAAGGGTTGAGCAGGACCTAGACAACCAGGTGTCTAGGTCCTGCTAGGTGAACAGGTCCATTAGGTGAATGAGAAAGTGCCCAATCATTTCTGTTCCACCAGGGGATCAAGCTCAATTGAGAATCAAGAGCGTTAACCACTGAACTGCATAATCACGTATGTAACACAGTTCAAACACCCTGGTTGATACCTGGTTGATGGGGTTCTGGGAGTTGTTCTACTCCCCAAGCCCGGCCCGAGGCCAGGCTTGACTTGTGAGAGTTTGGTCCACCAGGCTGTTGCTTGGAGCGGCCCGCAGGCCCACATATACCTGGTTGATGGGGTTCTGGGAGTTCTTCTACTCCCCAAGCCCGGCCCGAGGCCAGGCTTGACTTGTGAGAGTTTGGTCCACCAGGCTGTTGCTTGGAGCGGCCCGCAGGCCCACATACCCACCACAGCCCGGTTGGTCCGGAACTCCTTGGAGGAAACAATCTAGTTTTATCTTGAAGATGTCCACGGTTGTTATGGCAATATTTCTGATGCTCGCTGGTAGGACATTGAACAATTGTGGACCTCTGATGTTTATACAGTGTTCTCTGATTGTGCCTATGGTACCCCTGCTCTTCACTGGACCCCTGGTGTTTATACAGTGTTCTCTGATTGTGTCTATGGCACCTCTGCTCTTCACTGGGCCTCTGATGTTTATACAGTTTTCTCTGATTGTGTCTATGGCACCTCTGCTCTTTACTGGTTCTATTCTGCATTTTCTTCCATATTGTTCACTCCAGTACATTGTTATTTTACTGTGTAGATTTGGGACCTGGCCCAATACACTGTACATACTTCTTCCAAGGCTACCTTAAAAACTTACAAATACAGTACACATATACTGTACAATCATATGAACAAATCCTCAAGGGCCGTGATGAGGGTTCGAACCTACGTCCGGGATGATCCCAGACACGCCTTAGTCGACTGCGCCACGACATGGTTAAAAGATGTACAACCCGGCATGCTACTGCCCTCACAAGGCTCCCGCAGCTTCTCCGCAGCACCGACCGAGGTTTTACACAATTCCCCCCCCCCATGCACCCAGGCTCTGTCAACTTAATGTTCTACCTCTTCCCCCTTACTTCAATACACAAATCACAATGGCGTGATGCATCAAATGAACAAATCCACAAGGGCTTTTGTTCCTTGTGGATCTGTTCCTTTGATGCATCACACTATTGTGATTTGTGTGTGTACTATACCATCATAGTTTAAATGTATCATCAAAGTACTGTATAATCACAAACATTTATTGGACTGGCTTCTTATCTTGCAACATATACAAAGACCTTCACTGTTCATGTGTATTATCATGCAACATTTCAGTCAATATGCCTCGAGGTTGAAGATATCCTTCACATCCTCAAGTTAAAGTTAACTGTTATCCTGTTAGGCACACATCTCACTCGTGCACATCTTACCCGCGCACATCTTGCCGGCACACATCTCGCTCGCACACATCTCACACGTGCACAATTTGAATAACATCGCTCCATTATATACTCATTTTACCCTAAATTCTATACAATCATGAATATTGAGTAGTCAACCAGTTTACTGTATTTTATACAAAATTTTATACACAAATAACAAATAAAATGAACCAGTTTGACAATTATTTTATCATGAACTGAATGTAATCTTTTGTTCATTTAGTATTTATTAGTTTATGCTATACAGTGTTAACCTAGGAAATAATAACTATTATTTATTTTTAGATATTAGTCGCCAACATATAATTCATATAGTGTTTAACCCTTATATGTTAAGCATATTAGGAGGTCCCATGGCATGGTGGGCATCAATAAACAAAATACATTATTCATTATCCATAACGAACAGTCGCAGATAATGACCGAAAGTGTTTAAGTTAAATCCTTTGTTTAACAACCGAGGGAGGCACATGTACCCTCACTGTCCTGTCATATAGACTCAGTCCTCGTGTCACATGTACCCCTCACTGTCCTGTCATATAGACTCAGTCCTCGTGTCACATGTACCCTCACTGTCCTGTCATATAGACTCAGTCCTCGTGTCACATGTACCCTCACTGTCCTGTCATATAGACTCAGTCCTCGTGTCACATGTACCCCTCACTGTCCTGTCATATAGACTCAGTCCTTGTGTCACATGTACCCCTCACTGTCCTGTCATATAGACTCAGTCCTTGTGTCACATGTACCCCTCACTGTCCTGTCATATAGACTCAGTCCTTGTGTCACATGTACCCTCACTGTCCTGTCATATAGACTCAGTCCTTGTGTCACATGTACCCTCACTGTCCTGTCATATAGACTCAGTCCTTGTGTCACATGTACCCTCACTGTCCTGTCATATAGACTCAGTCCTCGTGTCACATGTACCCCTCACTGTCCTGTCATATAGACTCAGTCCTTGTGTCACATGTACCCCTCACTGTCCTGTCATATAGACTCAGTCCTTGTGTCACATGTACCCCTCACTGTCCTGTCATATAGACTCAGTCCTTGTGTCACATGTACCCTCACTGTCCTGTCATATAGACTCAGTCCTTGTGTCACATGTACCCTCACTGTCCTGTCATATAGACTCAGTCCTCGTGTCACATGTACCCTCACTGTCCTGTCATATAGACTCAGTCCTCGTGTCACATGTACCCTCACTGTCCTGTCATATAGACTCAGTCCTTGTGTCACATGTACCCTCACTGTCCTGTCATATAGACTCAGTCCTCGTGTCACATGTACCCTCACTGTCCTGTCATATAGACTCAGTCCTTGTGTCACATGTACCCTCACTGTCCTGTCATATAGACTCAGTCCTTGTGTCACATGTACCCTCACTGTCCTGTCATATAGACTCAGTCCTCGTGTCACATGTACCCTCACTGTCCTGTCATATAGACTCAGTCCTTGTGTCACATGTACCCTCACTGTCCTGTCATATAGACTCAGTCCTTGTGTCACATGTACCTCTCACTGTCCTGTCATATAGACTCAGTCCTTGTGTCACATGTACCCTCACTGTCCTGTCATATAGACTCAGTCCTCGTGTCACATGTACCCTCACTGTCCTGTCATATAGACTCAGTCCTCGTGTCACATGTACCCCTCACTGTCCTGTCATATAGACTCAGTCCTTGTGTCACATGTACCCTCACTGTCCTGTCATATAGACTCAGTCCTTGTGTCACATGTACCCCTCACTGTCCTGTCATATAGACTCAGTCCTCGTGTCACATGTACCCTCACTGTCCTGTCATATAGACTCAGTCCTCGTGTCACATGTACCCCTCACTGTCCTGTCATATAGACTCAGTCCTTGTGTCACATGTACCCTCACTGTCCTGTCATATAGACTCAGTCCTTGTGTCACACGTACCCTCACTGTCCTGTCATATAGACTCAGTCCTTGTGTCACATGTACCCTCACTGTCCTGTCATATACTCAGTCCTCGTGTCACATGTACCCCTCACTGTCCTGTCATATAGACTCAGTCCTTGTGTCACATGTACCCTCACTGTCCTGTCATATAGACTCAGTCCTTGTGTCACATGTACCCTCACTGTCCTGTCATATAGACTCAGTCCTTGTGTCACATGTACCCTCACTGTCCTGTCATATAGACTCAGTCCTCGTGTCACATGTACCCCTCACTGTCCTGTCATATAGACTCAGTCCTCGTGTCTACTTGGACATGACAGTTTAACGGGGCTTGCGGGTTTGTCACCTTGTCATTCACACCTCTATCCAAGAGTTTCATTATTTCTTAGCCAAATAAACAATTGTCTGTTGAAAGCTTTCATAAAATCTCCAGGTGTACTGAAGTCGTCCAAATTTAGTTATGACCTCCAAGTTTGCCCCTTTCTGTTAACTTATGAACTCCTAGGCTCAAGTTACCTAATATGGAAGCAACCCATCCTCTCGAATAGTACAGTGCACTTTGACGTATAAATCTCAAAAAGGCCAAAAACTGATGTATTACAAATCATAACGGTTCTCAAAATTTATGTCATGTCCGATTTTCTATTCGTGAGTTCTTGTTTAGGTCAGGTTTGGGCAATTTAGTACATCAGTTTAGTGACATTGGAAGTGCTCAAGAGGACGGGCTGATATAAGAGGAAGAGTAAAAGAGGAGAAGAATGCCCCTTACCTCCGTCATCATTTGTGTTTACTTCCGTTTCTTCCATTTTTCCTGCCACCGAAGTATCGTTTGTCCCCAGAAGAGCCGGAAGCACAGGTATTCTTGATAGTAGTTTGAGATCGTTATCAAAACTGGAAGAAAGGATATCAATGCTTCAGCAACAGACTTAAGCATTAACAATTGGACAATGCAAATATGTGGTTATCTTGACACTTGCCTGTCAAGATAACCAGAACCCAGGGAAATAATAGCAAATGTAAGGTCAGTATTTTGTTTCTATCTGTATGTGCAGGTGGATGAGGAGAATTAGTACAAGTGTCTTTCAATTCAATTTTGAGATTCTGTTTTCTGTTTTCCCGTGTTCTTTAGTTCTACGTGTCCTAAATGTGGGCCGGTAGTCCACTTCAATTAACAACATGCAGACGATGAATCACAATAACGTGGCTGAAGATATGAAGACTTACCACACACCACAAGACGAGGAGACGATGCCATTTCAGTCCATTCTGGACCATTATCAAGTTCATTGTGTTTACACTGTATTTCCATTTCTTCCCCTTTTCCTGCCACTGAAGTAGCCATTATCGACTTGATAATGATCCAGGATGGACCAAAACATTATCGACTTGATAATGATCCGGGACAGACTGAAACATTATCGACTTGATAATGATCTAGGACGGACCAAAACATTATCGACTTGATAATGATCCGGGACAGACCGAAACATTATCGACTTGATAATGATCCGGGACGGACCGAAACGTCATCTCATCTTCTGGTGCGTGGTTTAGTCCTCAAGTAACAGCATGTTTGCCTAAGGTATCACAAGACAAATGGGTTCTGGAGTCGTACAACTTTCAGAACCCATTTCCATCATGATCCAAGTACAAACCTACACAGGACTAGTCTATGCTTGTCCACTTGGACTCACTCTCTCTCTGAGTATCTTATATATCATGACCATGTCTCGATTTCCTACCCTACACTAGTTATAATATGAAATCTTAAGAGCTTGTCCTCATAACTCAGGTTTTTAACTTCCAGTACCACCCTTTGTGCCTTCTTACTTTTTTTTTTTTGTTTAGTTTCACTAGGTGTAGGTTCCATGCCAGTGATAAATAGCCGGTGATAAATAAGGGAGCCGGGCGGCCGAGCGGACAGCACGCTGGATACGTGATCCTGTGGTCCCGGGTTCGATCCCGGGCGCCGGCGAGAAACAATGGGAAGAGTTTCTTTCACCCTATTCCCCTGTTACCTAGCAGTAAATAGGTACCTGGGTGTTAGTCAGCTGTCACGGGCTGCTTCCTGGGGGTGGAGGCCTGGTCGAGGACCGGGCCGCGGGTACACTAAAGCCCCGAAATCATCTCAAGATAACCTCAAGATAAATACTCAAAACTATTTGAAGAGCATTTTTTCAGGTTTAGAAAAAGGCATCTTAATGTCTTAACTTTGTGTACTCTGCTGATATTAGTCAGTTTATATGTACTGTACATTTATCATGAGACCGTGCATGAGGTCCACTCCTTGGTCTTATTCTGGAATCATCAAGTTGCCTCCCTATCAGTTGATTAGTTCTCTCTCTTGTCTCTCTTTCCCATTCTTATAACAATGTATTTACTAGGGTTGAACTCCATTAGTAACTTCTTGAAACAACCTTCCAGGGTATTTAGGGTCACACGCACCACTTTGCAAGATTCATCTTGCAAAGATGGTGCGATCCAAGGCCTTCACACTCCTGTCCACTTTTAGTTACAGCCATAGAAATCAGTTGGGTTTGTTAGGCATGACTTCCCACCCTGAACCTACACTGCTTCACGTTTATGAAGTCCATTTTCCAGATTTTCAACTAATATAAGCCCATTTTATTTTCTCCAGGCCAATATTTACTTGCTTTATCACATCCCTGCAGGATCAAACAGTTTGTTTCCAGCAAATATTGTTTAGTGGATCAATATTGTTTGTTTCATTAATGTTTGTTTCAATTCAACTGTTTCATTGCGGACTATTCACCAAGGCTGCCACTAAGCTCGGGTGTTTGGACATGGCTCTGAAAGCCGCTCACCAACCCTAACTGTAAATTGTGTACAGTACAGAAAACTTGTGAACTTATATACAACATTTTACAAATTAATTAAAAAAAAAGTGAAACTTTTATTCCTCTTCAATGCTCACAATATGTCTAGTGCCAATTTGAAATATTGATAAAATACTTAAAACAAAATACAGTACATTATTATGCAAGTATAACTTTCAGAAATGAATAACTCAAAAAACTCTACTCAAAATTATCAAAACAGATGTGGAAATGTGCCAAGGCCATACCATGTATTATGCCTTCAAACAACAGAACTGCACTATTGGCCGAATCTAAAATGTTGTTGATTATCCCATTTTCTACAACATGTTCATGCACCTGGATGGACCCACGAGACAAAAACAAGAACCATATATACAAAGTACCGACTTAACCACTGCACTGCGCAAAGCGCCTTTTGGCGCTCTGAGAGTTTGGCATTTTTTTTTTAATTAGGCTCTATTTTAATGTTTTTTAATGTTTTCATTACTGTGTTTTGAAATAGAAATAGTTGATTTTGGAAACATTTTGACGTTAACTTTACCCGAATCTTTATAAAAAAAAACAAAAATATGTCCTTGACAATTGCACTAAGAAGTTTTTGCCAAAACCAGGTGCGCAGTGCAGGGGTTAAGGATCTAACTCTACACCCTACTCACTTGTTAAGTATCTGAAACTTCTCTTCTCTTCCTGTCAAGTACTCCTTGAAACTCTGATAAAAATTCTCAAATCTGTTCCTGAAATCCGCAACAATGTCCTCAAGATTTGCCACGACAGCCGCCCATCCTGCAAAGGAAAAGAACTTATACAATGCATTACCCCTTAAATTGCTTAACTATTTAGAGTCCAACATCATGGTACACATGACACAAAGAGTCCCCAAATCTAACGCAAAAAGAATTCACATTTGGTGATTCGAGGCAAAGGAGGTAGACGCAGATAGCAACTGGAGCCATTTGAGCATTAATTATTATCCTTTTCTGAGAGTGAGACAATTTGACGAGACATGAAGTGGGTCGGCATAACCTAAAAAAACACATACTGCCTTTGCCGGTAGATAAGATGCATTATTATAACGTTAATTTTAAGCTCAACGTCGTAACTTACATGAAAAAAATTATAATAGAGAAGCTGCACTTTAAACTTCACTTTCAGTAAATATATGATGAAATATACTAAGGATAGTTCTTCAAAATATTTTTGTAAGATAAGGGTGGTGCATCTTTTGGTGGCAGTAAATACGGCACTTAATAAAACAAGACCACAAAATAACAGCATTATGAGGAAGATGCCAACACCAAAAATTTCCCTTCTCAAGTACAAAGGCTTTCATACGAGTGGGTAACGCCGAAAAATCTATCGGGTTGTGTCCTTTTCAAGCCGGTGGGCTCTCGACAGATGCAGCATGCGGCAACATCAATGATTACACACAGAAATCACAATAGTGTGATGCATCAAATGAACAAATCCATAAGGGCCGTGACGAGGGTTCAAACCTACGTCCGAGAGGATCCCATATGCTGCCTTAATCGACTGAGCTACGACACGAGCTACCATGTCGAAGGCTCAGTCGATTAAGGTAGCGTCTGGGATCCTCTCGAACGAAGGTTTGAACCCTCGTCACGGCCCTTGTGGATTTGAACCCTCGTCACGGCCCTTGTGGATTTGAACCCTCGTCACGGCCCTTGTGGATTTGAACCCTTGTCACGGCCCTTGTGGATTTGAACCCTCGTCACGGCCCTTGTGGATTTGAACCCTCGTCACGGCCCTTGTGGATTTGAACCCTCGTCACGGCCCTTGTGGATTTGAACATCAATGATGTTAAATTACGAACGTTGAATGCTGACGAGGTGAAAACAAGAGGGAAGGAGAGTACTGTAAGTGCACCTCCAACTATGTGGCAACTCTCTCTCGATACACCACAACTGAGCCAAAATCACAATGACAAAATAGTCAAAGAAACGACCCAGAAGATTTAGCGACATGTGAAAGACCACACCATAAATGTCCCCATAAGGACCACACCATAAAGACCACACCATAAATGTCTCCATAAAGACCACACCATAAATGTCCCCATAAAGACCACACCATAAATGCCAGCACAAACACCACACCGCCACCCACACAGACCACTCCCCCAACGCCACCCACAAACACACCACCAATGCCACCCACAAACACCACACCACCAACACCACCCACAAACACAACACCACACTGCCACCCACACAGACCACACACATATAGGTGAATACATATAGGTGAGTACAGACTACTCCACCAATGCCACCCACAAACACCACACCACCAACACCACTAACACCACCCACACAGACTACTCCACCAACGCCACCCACAAACACCACACCACCAACACCACTAACACCACCCACACAGACCACTCCACCAATGCCACCCACAAACACCACACCACTAACACCACTAACACCACCCACACAGACCACTCCACCAACGCCACCGCCACAATCACAACGACACACTCACCCTGCTGCTGGAGGTGCTGGTCGTGCACCAGCTGCTGGCTGGCGCGGATCTCTTCCCGAGACTGTTCGTGGAACTGCTGTGCCAACTGTGCTCGGGCCACGACGGTGTTGTAGCTAGCGGGCATGTTCAGCGTTCCCTCCACCTGGTCCTGCAGCATTGACATAAGCCAAAGTTATTGAGGTAACACTCCTCTTGCATTCAAAAATCAAATACAACAAACCCTCTTTACATATACAGTATACTGTATTTTAGATAGATAGATTAGATAGATAAAATATTTAGATAAATTTATAAATATATATATATATACTCTATACATATATTGGTGTATACTGGCAGCAGGTATTCATTTAGACATGTTTCATTGAACATGATTGCATATTCTGTATTGATTATTTTCTTGTTTAGGGCTTCTATCCCTCTGACTAGTGCTCTTGCATCTTGGTTTAATTGGAAGAGGATTTCTCCAAATGCCATCTTTGTTCAAGGTGAACTAAAAGAAATAATTAACTGTAGAATGTATTACACATTATATATTTTACACGTTTCGAACCTACATGGTTCATTCTCAAGTGAATAGGACAGTACTGAGCAGGTATGTTGAATTTATACCATTAGGGAGGTCAGGTACATACAAACAGATGAAGAATAAGGTGTAAACGGGTAAAGAAAAAGGTGAAAAAAAGGGGGGAAGTATATTTAAAGATTAATCGGGTGTAGTTGTTGTGGCATTTTGAGCGGTGTTGTCTACGTTGGCATCTTCATGTTCCGCTCTTGTTCTTACTCATATGGTGGGTAGAGTGAATAGTTTCATTATCATTATTATTCATTATTATTCATTATTCATTAGAATAGTTTCATAACAGTATTTATGGTAGATTGTTTTACTTTTATGTGGATTGCTTCAAGAATTTGCAATCTTCCTACATCTTTGGTTTTGTCTATTATGCAAGTGCATAATAGACAAAATGAATTCAACATTTCTCTTAGAGTGATATTATGGGCTTGTCTCATGTGATTTTTAGGGGCACGTGATTGAAGATGACAGGTCAAACACCTCGTCAGCTTGGTCGACGTCATATCTATGTACTTAGATTGAAGGCTACATCCATCTTGGGGGGCCAGACGTACATATATACCACGTTTGACTGCTGTAAAGGGTTCTCCGTTGGCTTCGGGCTGTTTTTAATGAGGAGGTCAGTAGTCTTCTTTGTTTTATAATACAGTATATGATTAGATCTATGTTTTGGTTAGGAGTTGTGCTTTTTATTCCTTTATGGATTATTTCTTTTTTATGTTCACTATGCATGGTTCACTATTCAACCATGCTCACTGAACATAAAAAAAAGCCCTTCGAATGGTTGACATCGCACAGAAAACTTTTGATTAATTTCCCAAACTGTAGTTTATTTCAAACAATTATCTCTCATAAATAATTATTCTAAAGTACCACTATTACAATTGCAATAGTCTCCATTTCCATTGGACATTTTTGGTGCCGTGGTGAGGGGGTACCTGCTGCTTGGATAACAGCTTCTCCCGGATATCAACCTACTCTGGCTTTGCGCCTTGGAGAGGCCACTCCAGACCGACAACCAGAGCACAACTCCCTAGTCTCCGGAGACTGATGGATGCCTACTGCTATGCAATCATCCAACAACTTACTGCAATTTTCAGGTGATAGGATGGATGTTTTGGGTCACCTTCCAACCAGTCGTCTCCAGTTGCCACAATGGACAGAAAATGGTGTACTTTTTACTACACCCGAACTTCACCGAACAGAGCAACCCACGCATAGAAACCTGCATGTGAGCCACTATGATTTATAGTACTGTACATCATTTTTTGTCCATTATGGATCCCGATGTCAAAATGTGTTCTATTTTCGAGTGGACAGGTTGCACCAACAATTATATATTTTTTTTACAATTACAAAAATCATGTTTTCCCCTACAAATCTACCTGAACTTCACTTTCCTTAAATGTAAGACACTAAACTAAAACTAGAGCCCCAACCCACAAATCTAAAAATAAAAGATTTTTGGGTTGGACGTCTAATTTTCACACATTATTGTGACATCTGCAATACTCAAATTTCTCACACAAATGTCAATAAAACATGTAAGTCATATGCAGTAAAATATGGTATATAGCTTTCACACACTGTACTTAAAAGTGGCAGTTTTTGCCTTTGCATAAACCCACCTTAAAAAGAACTTATAGTATATATCAAAGACCTAATATATATCAGACCTAATATATAGACCTAATATATATCAGACCTAATATATAGACCTAATATATATCAGACCTAATATATAGACCTAATATATATCAGAGGATGAAACACTTCCTCTCTCCTCTCTTAAACACACTGAACTTTACATTCACGATACCTTTAGGTCAGTATCTGTGCAGTAGTCGACGCAGGGCACGGGTGGGTTTTGCTTCTCGATGGTAGTTTTAGAGAAGAGGAAGATGGGGTTGGTGTCGGTGCCAGCCGAGTATTGGCACACCCGCTGGTCGGGGTCGAGTGCTTCACCACCAGAGATGAGCAGGACCTGTTTTTCTGGCGGAACCTTCAACGTACGGTGCACCTCCTCCTTCAGCACCGACACGCTGTCACAACACGATCAAATAATTTGTATCACAGTCAAAATTATAGATTTCGATCAGCAACACTGTTTTAAACAAAATTGGCTAAAAATGTTTGAAACAATCAGTTAACAATGTTTTAAACAAAGTCAGCTGATGACATTTTAAACAAAATTGGCAAATGACATTTTTCAACAAATGCACCAGCTGCTGAAGCTTTAAATGAAAAGTAGCTACAGATAAATTGTTACATACACCAAACATTTAATTACTGTATAAATACAAAACGTCTAACTCAACACACACAAAATGAAATGAAAGTGACGATGCTTCACTCCATCCTGGACCCTTATTAAATCACAACTTTATTAGGGTGCAGAATAGACCGAAACGTTGACACCACCATTTCCCATCACATATGAGAGTTTGGTTATTTGCTTCAACCCTAGTTAATCACTTATTCTCTACGATTTGAAACCTCCCCCAATGACCGTTGCCACGAGCTGTACCTGTCACACCCGGGTGTACCAGTTGTGCGCACCACACTGCACGTACTCGGAAACTCTCACATTACGTACTTAACAGACTAAACAATATCACAGTTTACAGAGAAATCACAGTAACGTGATATATCAATGAGAATGCTGGGTGTGTGTCTGGGAATACCCTAGTGCATAGGTTCGAATCTTCACCACGGCTCCTGTACATTTTCTCAATGTCACAGTTTAATAACACAAAGCTGGAAGTTTTTCCTATGGCTGTAACACGTGTCCATTACAACCACAACTTCAACAATTTTTATAAATCTAAATCTAGATAACACATATGTAATTACAATGATTAAATTTTATGCTGTTAATGTGTAAACTCTACTATAAAATACAACTATTTATGAACAAAGTTTTTGAATTTGAATTGAATTACACAATAAGTACTTTTACAATTTGAAAACAACAATGACATTATAGCCTTAAATTAGTCAGACCACCATTAGTATCAATCAAATAGGTCTTACACTCAAGATGAACACCACATATAGTACATTTCTGCATGCATCAGATTATCAGCCCATTCCCCCCACAATTTGACGAACATTAATTTTCGATAAATTGTCTAACCAACCACCCTAACCTATCAAAGTTGATTCGCAATAACCCCAAGAAGTGTAAATGTTACAGGGCTTTTAATTTCGCTAAATCACCACAACATTTATGTCGGGGATCGATAGCATCATAATTGTGGCACAAAGTATGCAGACAGGATACCCTCAAGATAACCTCAAGATAACAGGATGACCTGTAATGCTTGATGGTTCACCGACACCAAGAAACGTCAATCGATCCTAGCGTTCCCAAACTCCACTACACTCTTACTATGATCTTAAGTGGTGTGCTTCTTATACTTTAGATTTTGCCTTCACAAAGAGAGACTTACTTCTCCAATGCCAGGTTCATGTCGAAGGTCTTCATGGTGCCGTTGTCAACAAGAAACACGTATATCATCTTGGCGGCTAGTGATCTCTGCCTATCACGTCATAACTGAAATGAACAATGAACATCATGGTTAACTGATCATATATAGCAATAAAAAGGAGAATGCAATGCAAAAAGTGCATACCACACAAAAAATCCCACACACATATAAACTCTTAAAAATAGCTTTGGAAGAAGTTAAAGCAAATTTAAACATAAATGACTACGATAGGTTAGGTAAGGAAATTCAACAGAAAAAACAGCTTTTGTCAGTACAGATGGAGGAAATTACACAGGGAATAGAACAGTGCAAGAAAGATATGCAACTCACTTATGCATAAGTGGCTAAGGAGAAGGGAAAAATTTAAGAAGCAGTAAAGGAAGCCAAACACTGCAGCAACCAGGATAAAACAAACATTAGGCTGGAAGTGAGAAAGGAACTGGCATCTAACCCAAAGTTGGTGCAAAACACAGCCGATCGAAGTCCCTAATAATTTTTGGTAGCAAAGAAAAGGAGATAACATCTATGTCAGAAAGAGCTGTAGAAGAAGCGAAAGTAGTAGATAAAATTGTTGGCCTCGTGGAAGGTCTTACAACCATAGAGAATGTGTGCGACTACAGGAGAATAGGCAGGTACTTAAAGGGGAAAAGTCGACCTTTGAGGATCACCCTAAACGGTGCCAAACAGATGGAAGAAGTACTAAGGAATGCTAGAAAATTACAAAGTGATGAGGATGGGAAAGTGTGGTCATTGAGACGAGATCTTTCAAGAGAAGACAGAGAAGCTGAAACTGAACCTCGTAAAGGCAAAACATCTAAATGAGAGCAGGAACGAAGAAGAAATCAATTCTTTTTTTCTACAAAGTGATAGGGGTAGGCAGGCCTGTAAAATGGTACAAAATGGCAAACTAACAAAATCAATCGAGAAAAGGGTAGTGAAGAATAAGGAGAGAGGGAACATGTTCCTGAAAATTGTATACACCAACATAGATGGAGTGAGATCAAAGATACTGCAGTTATGTGGTGTAATACAGCTGCAGATGCCAGACATTGTTGCACTCACTGAGCCGAAACTTAAGATATTTTAAACGAGGTCATATTCCCAAGGAGCTACTCAGTTTGGAGACGGGACACAAAAATTAGTAAAGGCGGTTGCTCTTCTGGTGAAAGAACACCTAAAGGTAAACGAAATAATGATTGCCAATCTACGAGAAGTTGACATAATAGCACCAGAGATCTGCAATCATGATGATAAACTAATGATCATAAATACATATAGTCCACCGCCAAGCAACACATGGACAAATGAGGAGCTGGATAATAAACAAGAGGGGTCTTATAACAATAATGAGAGAGATTATAGCAAGAGCTGATAAAGACAGATCATGACTGTTGGTAGTCGGTGACTTCAACTGGAAATCCGTAGACTGGGAAGCATATGAAGCTAGAACAGAAGATTTTTTGTAGACCTCATCCTGGAAACATTCTTCTATCAACATGTTAATTAAACAAGCTATGAGGATGAGGGAAGGGGATGTTCCCTCCATGCTAGATTTGATATTTACCAGGAAAAAGTTTCTGGTAAATATCGTAAAATATCTTGTAAAATTCTGGTAAAATGAAAAGGAAATGTGTGAAATATTAAACGAAAAGTTCCAAAAGTGTGCTTGTACAAAATGAAATCTTCAGGGAACCAGACACAATAAGAATTCCAGAGGACAACATACAGCACATAGAGGTGTCTAGAGACGAAATGAAAAAAATGCTCAAGGAGCTAAGAAAGAACAAAGCAGTTGGTCCAGATGGAGTTTCATCATGGGTTCTGAGAGCATATGCATCTGTGCTCAGCATTCCACTTTAACTGATTTTTCAGGCATCCCTGTGTACAGGAGTCGTAGCAGATGTGTGGAAACGGCTACCTTGAAGTTACCTTGAAATGTTTCCAGGGCTTAGCGTCCTTGCGGCCCAGTTGTTGATCAGGCCTCCTCGCTGCTGGACTGGCCAACCAGGCTGTTTGACGAGGCTGCTTGCAGCCTGGTTGATTAGGAATCCTTTGGAGGTGCTTATCCAGTTCTCTCTTGAACACTGTGAGGGGTCGGCCAGTTATGCCCCTTATGTGTAGTGGAAGCATGTTGAACAGTCTCGAGCCTCTGATGTTGATAGAGTTCTCTCTCAAGAGTACCTGTTGCACCTCTGCTTTTCAACGGGGGTATTCTGCACATCCTGCCATGCCTCCTGGTCTCATATAATGTTATTTCTGTGAGCAGGTTTGGGACCAGCCCCTCTTAATATTTTCCCACGTGTAAATTATTATGTATCTCTCCCGCCTGCGCTCAAGAGAGTATAGATTTAGGCTCTTTAGTCAGTCCCAGTAGTTTAGATGTTTTACTGGGTGGATTCTAGAAGTAAAGGATCTCTGCACGCTCTCCAGGTCAGCAATTTCTCCAGCGTTGAAAGGGGCTGTCATTGTGCAGCAATATTCCATTCTTAGAGAGCACTAGCGTCTTGAAAAGTATCATCATCGGTATAGCATCTCTAGTGTGAAAGGTTCTTGTTATCCAACCTGTCATTTTTCTTGCAGCTGTGATGGCTACTTTATTGTGTTCTTTGAAGGTAAGGTCTTCCGACATGAGTACACCCAAATCCTATTCGTTCTATGTTATGATTTGACTGAGTTTTGTACATGGTTTACGTTTTTATATTTTCATTTTTTCCATAACGCATGAGCTTATCTTAAACTTATCTTCGTTAAACACCATATTAATTTCTGTAGCCCATAGAAAGACCTGATTTACATCTGATTGGAGGTTTGCCATGTTCTCCATGTTATCTACTCTCATGAAAATACTAGTGCCATCTGCAAAAGATGATACAGTACTATAGATTGTGTCATTGTCTATGTCCGATATGAGGATGAGAAAAAGTACTGGAGCAAGCACAGTACCCTGGGGGACTGAGCTCTTCACAGTTGATGGACCGGATATTATTTTGTTGACTTTTACACATTGGGTTCCAATCTACAAAAGTGGCAGCAGGAAAGACCCCCTCCATTATAGACCTGTATCATAGACAAGTGTAATAGTCAATGTATTGGAAAAAATAATTAAAACTAAATGGATAGAACACCTGGAGAAAAACTATATGATATCGGACAGACAGTATGGTGTTTGATCTGGAAGATCCTGTTTATCGAATTTACTCAGTTTCTATGATCGAGCCGCAGAGATTTTACAGGAAAGAGATGGTTGGGTTGACTGCATCTATCCAGACCTAAAAAAAAGACTTTTGACAGAGTTCCACATAAGAGATTGTTCTGGAAACTGGAACATATAGGAGGGGTGACAGGTAAGCTTCTAACATGGATGAAAAATTTTCTGATAGAAAAATGAGGGCAGTAATCAGAGGCAATGTATCAGACTGAAGAAATGTCATAAGTGGAGTACCACAGGGTTCAGTTCTTACACCAGTAATGTTCATGGTCTACATAAACAATCTACCAGATGGAATACAGAATTATATATACATGTTTGCTGATGATGTTAAGACAATAGGGAAGATAAGAAACTTAGATGATTGTCATGCCTTTCAAGAAGACCTGGACAAAATAAGTATATTGAGTACCACTTGGCAAATAGAATTTAATGTGCATAAATGCCATGTTATGGAATGTGGAATAGGAGAACATAGACCCCACACAACCTATAAATTATGTGAGAAATCTTTAAAGAATTCTGACAAAGAAAGAGATCTAGGGGTGGTTCTAGATAGAAAACTGTCACCTGAGGACCACATTAAGAACATTGTACGAGGAGCCTATGCTTCATTTTCTAACTTCAGAATTGTTTTTAAATACATGGATTGAGAAATACTAATGAAATTGTTCATAACTTTTGTTAGATCAAAGCTGGGGGTTGTGTGGTGCCCATATCTTAAGAAGCACATCAACAAACCGGAAAAGGTGCAAAGACATGCCACTAAGTGGCTCCCAGAACTGAAGGACGAGAGCAACGAGAAGTTAGAGGCATTAAATATGTAAAAACTAGAAGACAGAAGAAAAAGAGGCGATATGATCACTACATACAAAATAATAACAGGCATCGATAAAATTGATAGGGAAGAATTCCCGTGACCCGGAACTTCAAGAACAAGAGGTCATAGATTTAAACTAACGAAACAAAGCTGCCGGTGAAATATAAAAAAATTCACTTTCGCAAACAGAGTGGTAGACGGTTGGAACAAGTTAGGTGAGAGGGTGGTGGAGGCCAAACCGTCAGTAATTTCAAAGCGTTATATGACAAAGAGTACCGGGAAGACGGGACACCATGAGCGCAGTTCTCATCCTGTAACTACACTTAGGTAATTACTGTCTTACACTAAGCAAACCATTCGCTGTACTAATCAAATTTTGGTGTTTAAATACCCACTGATACAGTACCTCATTTAGAAGTGCATATCATGCATACCTAATTTACACACCTTGTGAGCTAACCTTATGTTCCTAACTCTTCAACTTGGTTCTAATTATCAACCAAAATTAATATTTGTTATTCCTAAACTATGCAGCCTTTGATGTTTGTTATATGTGACTAAAATACATAAAATTCCTTGGTGAGTACAGAATGCTTATTTGTTGTATTTATGATATATAATACATTATAGACATTTATAGCTTAGTATCAAGTTCTTTGAACAGATTTTCAATTAGAAAAGTAACTAAACAATAATACTGTAATAATTTTTGTCCTAATAATTTTTTGAATGGTACATTTTGTATTTTGTTCTGTCATGTTTCTTCTCAGAAACTTAATAAAAATTATGAAATCTGATCCCCTTATTTTGTTCTTATTATTGTTGTTAGTTGAATTTACGGCCTACTACTGAATTTAAGAACATAAGAACAAAGGTAACTGCAGAAGGCCTGTTGGCCCATACGAGGCAGCTCCTATCTATAACCACCCAATCCCACTCATATACATGTCCAACCCACGCCTGAAACAATTGAGGGACCCCACCTTCACCACGTTACGCTGTGGAGGTGGGGTTATTTTTCAACTATATTTTCTGTTCATAAATGATCACAAAATGTAAAGAACATCACCTAATATTATGAACAAGCCATCCAAAATTCTGACGCAAATCCGACGTTCACCACTATGATCACCGGATGCCGACTGAATAAACTTTGTGAAAATGTGGATCAGTTTTTATCCTTCCAGTTAGGCCTATATATAAATATATATACTATAAGTGCATCACTGCAAGCAAATTTCTTACTGAAAATTATCTTTATGGTAAAGTCTCCATACCCATAAACCATTAAATCCCGGGCAGGACAAATATTGGCTGCATTTCCTATCACCTAATGCACCTGTTCACCTAGCAGTAAATAGGTACCCAGGAGTTAATCAGCTTCTTGTGGGGTTCCCTCCTGGGTCAGTAATTCCTCCCTTGGGGGGGGCAGGGGGGGGGGGGGGGGGGGGGGGGGGGGGGGGGAGGGGGTACCAATATAAGCCTAATATGTATATATAGAACATAAGAACAGAAAAATGAAGGTAATTGCAGAAGGCCTATTGGCCCATCCGAGGCAGCTCCTATTTATATCTATCCAATCTTATTCATATATATGTCTAACCTACGCTTGAAACAATCGAGGGATCCAACTTCTATTACGTTACGCAGTAATTGGTTCCACAAATCAACAGCCCTCTTACCGGACAATATTTACCCAGGTCTTTCCTAAATCTAAACTTATCCAATTTATACCCTTTTTTCGTGTCCTATTTTGTGTTCATACTTTTAATACACTATTAATAATTAATAATTCATTGTCGGGGGACAGGAAGCCTGAGTGTATTCATGCACGTTTGGCTTTTATCAAGGTGCATCCCCCCCTCCCCCCCCTAGGCTGAATACTGCCTCCCTCCCCAGGATGCAGCCCCCTACAACAAATTGACTTACTCACCTAGCAGTGAGTACCACTACTATTCACTGCTAGGTGAATAGGTACTTAATGAATACTTAGTGAATAGGTACTGCTAGAGGAATTAGGTGAAAGGAAATGTGCCCAACCATTTCTTCCTCGCCTGGGATTCGAGCCAGGAATCCTCAATAGTGCGTCGAGAATGAACCCAACTGTACTGTTTTTGTCTAGACTGCCTATTTGCCCCCCCCCCCCCTCGAACACAATGAATTATTATTATTAAATGACCAAGCTAATTAAAAGTCCTACATTACATAACAAAAAACTGGTTCACAAAACAAATACAAAAAAAATAATGTATAGTGATTCCAGCGCAGAAGGTAATCCCAGATAGCGATCGAACTATTTAAGGGTAACCCAACGGGGTATCCCACGATGGCTCAATTCAATTTCTTTCTTTATTATGCACCCCATACCCATCCCGTGGGCGGTGGTGTAAAGGATTACAGAGGCACATAATCAGTTCAGGAACTGAACCCTCTAGTTCGTTTACCTAAGCAAATAAAAAAATTTCACGCTAGTCGGTGATCTAAATGTCCCCCACGCAGTTTCCTATCCGCAAAAACACCGAACAAAAAAGAATAAACAAAAAATTCTACCCTCCAATTGGCCTCAAAGAACGAGGCCGAGGATTTCATCAGAGACAATTACGCCACATTATTATAGACAACAAAACAACTCCCTGTCTCAACCTCGTATCTCCTGCACCTCAAACCAAAATATTTACACTCAACAGCCAATACAAAAACGCTTTAGAGCGACAAGAGGCGTAAAATATACGCCAAATACGACCCTAAGAATCTTTTGTTTACCAACTGAACTGACCTTGCCAACAGCTGACCCGCCTCACCTAACCTCACCTAGGCCCTCACACTCACCTATTTGACCCACTCTGGCCGCTTCTCCGCCTTCCCCAGCCAAACAAAGGCCCCAAAAGCGAGAATCTGGAGGCGGGGATGGGGAAGCAAGGGTGAAATATGAGACAAACGAGGCGGCAGCAACTGCGTCTCAGAGATGTTTGGTGTTGGGAGAGTTTTGGTCGCTTTTGTTCCGCGCGTCTCTCCCGCAGACCCAAACTCCTTCACGATCAACAAAAACAATAAAACGCCCTTTTAATAACATTAATAAGAATAAAAATATTTATTTTATTCGTAAAATATATATTACAACATATTACACTGGTTTAAATATTGTTTAAATTTTAGCTTTAATTACAAAAAATATAAATTATTTTCCTTCCAATGGTCAGCCATCATCAAAGTCTTGGAGCTCCAGCACAAGTTGTGACATGATTTAAATATATATAATACTTCATTGTGTGTAGGGGATTATATATATATATTGTTCTTGTTTATATATATATTATATATTTATGTAATATATATATGTAATAATATATATGTATAATATAATATATATGTAATATATATTATATGTTTCTTGTTCCAGCGCCTCAGTGTTGCGATTCAGAGGGAAAATGCCTGTTGCGTCTTGGGCACTAGTCCAACTTCAGAGGAATTCGAAGAAGTGTTTGACTTGCAACAATGATCGAACCCGTCTGTGACATTCATCAATGTTTCCCATTGTTGTGTTTTTCAAGAGATCCATAACCTTTAAGCACCTTTTTGCATTATTATTTTTGTATCAACCCATGTATATCTTGTAACCATCAAATGCATAATAAAGCACAAAAATAAAAAAGGAAGTGGGTGGTAGGAGAAAAGCACACAGAAACTGTATTGGAGGGGATCTAAACATTCCCTCTAATGCGTTATGCGTGGTTTCCTCCGAGGCTATGGGTCCCCCTTCTTCCAGCTAGAGGTGGTACTCCCTTCTATATATATATATATATATATATATATATATATATATATATATATATATATATATATATATATATATATATATATATATATATATATATATATATATATATATATATATATATATATATATATATATATATATATATATATATATATATATGTGTGTGTGTGTGTGTGTATATCACGAAAATAAACACGTGATTAAGAATGTGACAATGTCAGACCACGGAGGAAAATGAAACAGGAAATTTCCTCAAGTACTGTCGTATATTAAATACATCTTCAGAAGGAATGATTTTACAGATCGAGTGATGGGTATAAATAGGCAGGAGAGAGTGGTGAAGTGGGGTGAGGTACAATACTTGGACAACGCAGACGGCCCATTGGCCCATCAGATGCACCCAATTGGCCCATCTGATGTAGCCCAATGGCCCATCTGATACAGCAGACATACAAGCATAATACATAGGTAATTATAACATAAAGAGGTAAATATATACAATGAATTAGTGAGACAAATGTTTTTCAATGATCCTACTTAAATCGCCCTTTAGCTGATCTATTAGAAATGGATCTAAGTTATATAGACCACTGCTAATATTCAAATTACTTTCTTTGGTGATCTGTATCAGAGCAGATTCAATTATGTTTCTGTTATAGGTGCTTTTACAATTTGTTATTGAAGAAGCACTCTCCCAATCAATTTGGTGAGCTTTTTCTGACAAATGCACAAACAAAGCATTAGACAATTGGCCATGTCTTACAGAGTATTTATGTTGTGATATTCTACATTTTAAATCTTTAGATGTTTGCCCGACATAGAACTTATTACATTCCTTACAAAGTATTTTATAAATGACGCAATTATCACTACGAGGGCTGTTCCTAACTAATAGCTAATAGCGTCCAACAGCCTGGTTGATCAGTCCAGCAACCCGCGGCCCGGTCGTCGACCAGGGCCGCGGCCCTGGTCGACGACCGGGCCGCGGGGACGCTAAGCCCCGGAAGCACCTCAAGGTAGGTTGGAGTCATGCGTTTTAATTCCCCTTAGTTTGTATGTTGTGACAAATCAGGTAAATTCAGGTAAAGGAAGAGAAGGCATTGCATGGCTGGAAGTGTTAACGGGTTATCAGGAGATAGCAAGAGATAACAAGGAGAAGATATCAGTGAAGGGCAGCATATCCCTACCCTCCACCTGCCCGACTGCTACTCTACCTCTGACCTCATCCCAATTCGGGGACCATTGGTCGTGTTTCCCCTGATGCCTCTGTTCACCTAGCAGTAAATAGGTACCCAGGCGACTTCACTAACCTCGCAGCTGTTCCTCTCTTCCTCTAGCACTAAATAGGTGCCCGTGAGTTAGCCAACTGTTGTGGCTGGTCTCCGGTTCCTCACCCTGACAATGGCAGGCCAGCAGACCGCAGACCAGCACACACAAGTAAGTTCTTCAATTGCTTTTCTCGTCTTTGATATTTGTACTAGATATGATATGCATGCCGATCCTCAAGGCTGATGTCCTAAGCTGTTCTGGTATGCACATTGTTGACAATGATTGTACCTGAGGGCCACCATCTATAGGGCCAGGGGCCAGGGAGCCCTGAGGGCCACCATCTATAGGGGCCAGGCAGCCTTGAGGGCCACCATCTATAGGGGCCAGGCAGCCCTGAGGGCCACCATCTATAGGGGCCAGGCAGCCTTGAGGGCCACCATCTATAGGGGCCAGGGGCCAGGGAGCCCTGAGGGCCACCATCTATAGGGGCCAGGGGCTAGGCAGCCCTGAGGGCCACCATCTATTGGGGCCAGGGGCCAGGCAGCCCTGAGGGCCACCATCTATAGGGGCCAGGCAGCCTTGAGGGCCACCATCTATAGGGGCCAGGCAGCCCTGAGGGCCACCATCTATAGGGGACAGGGGAAGGGCAGCCCTGAGGGCCACCATCTATAGGGGCCAGGCAGCCCTGAGGGCCACCATCTATAGGGGCCAGGGAGCCCTGAGGGCCACCATCTATAGGGGCCAGGCAGCCCTGAGGGCCACCATCTATAGGGGCCAGGGACCAGGCAGCCCTGAGGGCCACCATCTATAGGAGACAGGGGCCAGGGAGCCCTGAGGGCCACCATCTATAGGGGCCAGGGGCCAGGCAGCCCTGAGGGCCACCATCTATAGGGGCCAGGGAGCCCTGAGGGCCACCATCTACAGGGGCCAGGGAGCCCTGAGGGCCACCATCTATAGGGGCCAGGGGCCAGGCAGCCCTGAGGGCCACCATCTACAGTGACCAGGGAGCCCTGAGGGCCACCATCTACAGTGACCAGGGGCCAGGCAGCCCTGAGGGCCACCATCTATAGGGGCCAGGGACCAGGCAGCCCTGAGGGCCACCATCTATAGGGGACAGGGGCCAGGGAGCCCTGAGGGCCACCATCTACAGTGACCAGGGGCCAGGCAGCCCTGAGGGCCACCATCTATAGGGGCCAGGGACCAGGCAGCCCTGAGGGCCACCATCTATAGGGGCCAGGGACCAGGCAGCCCTGAGGGCCACCATCTATAGGGGCCAGGGACCAGGCAGCCCTGAGGGCCACCATCTATAGGGGCCAGGGACCAGGCAGCCCTGAGGGCCACCATCTACAGTGGCCAGGGGCCAGGCAGCCCTGAGGGCCACCATCTACAGTGACCAGGGGCCAGGGAGCCCTGAGGGCCACCATCTACAGTGGCCAGGGGCCAGGGAGCCCTGAGGGCCACCATCTACAGTGACCAGGGGCCAGGGAGCCCTGAGGGCCACCATCTACAGTGACCAGGGAACCCTGAGGGCCACCATCTACAGGGGCCAGGGAACCCTGAGGGCCACCATCAACAGGGGCCAGGCAGCCCTGAGGGCCACCATCTACAGTGACCAGGGGCCAGGGAGCCCTGAGGGCCACCATCTACAGTGACCAGGGAACCCTGAGGGCCACCATCTACAGGGGCCAGGGAACCCTGAGGGCCACCATCTACAGGGGCCAGGCAGCCCTGAGGGCCACCATCTACAGTGACCAGGGGCCAGGCAGCCCTGAGGGCCACCATCTACAGTGGCCAGACAGCCCTGAGGGCCACCATCTACAGTGACCAGGGGCCAGGCAGCCCTGAGGGCCACCATCTACAGTGACCAGGGGCCAGGCAGCCCTGAGGGCCACCATCTACAGTGGCCAGGGAGCCCTGAGGGCCACCATCTACAGTGACCAGTGACCAGGCAGCCCTGAGGGCCACCATCTACAGTGACCAGGGGCCAGGCAGCCCTGAGGGCCACCATCTACAGTGACCAGGGGCCAGGCAGCCCTGAGGGCCACCATCTACAGTGACCAGGGGCCAGGCAGCCCTGAGGGCCACCATCTACAGTGACCAGGGGCCAGGCAGCCCTGAGGGCCACCATCTACAGTGACCAGGGAACCCTGAGGGCCACCATCTACAGGGGCCAGGCAGCCCTGAGGGCCACCATCTACAGTGGCCAGGGAGCCCTGAGGGCCACCATCTACAGTGACCAGTGACCAGGCAGCCCTGAGGGCCACCATCTACAGTGACCAGGGGCCAGGCAGCCCTGAGGGCCACCATCTACAGTGACCAGGGGCCAGGCAGCCCTGAGGGCCACCATCTACAGTGACCAGGGGCCAGGCAGCCCTGAGGGCCACCATCTACAGTGACCAGGGGCCAGGCAGCCCTGAGGGCCACCATCTACAGTGACCAGGGGCCAGGCAGCCCTGAGGGCCACCATCTACAGTGACCAGGGAACCCTGAGGGCCACCATCTACAGGGGCCAGGCAGCCCTGAGGGCCACCATCTATAGGGGCCAGGGAACCCTGAGAGCCACCATCTACAGGGGCCAGGCAGCCCTGAGGGCCACCATCTACAGGGGCCAGGCAGCCCTGAGGGCCACCATCTATAGGGGCCAGGGAACCCTGAGGGCCACCATCTACAGGGGCCAGGCAGCCCTGAGGGCCACCATCTACAGTGACCAGGGGCCAGGCAGCCCTGAGGGCCACCATCTACAGTGGCCAGGGGCCAGGCAGCCCTGAGGGCCACCATCTACAGTGGCCAGGCAGCCCTGAGGGCCACCATCTACAGTGACCAGGGGCCAGGCAGCCCTGAGGGCCACCATCTACAGTGACCAGGGGCCAGGGAGCCCTGAGGGCCACCATCTATAGGGGCCAGGGAACCCTGAGGGCCACCATCTACAGGGGCCAGGCAGCCCTGAGGGCCACCATCTACAGGGGCCAGGCAGCCCTGAGGGCCACCATCTACAGTGACCAGGGGCCAGGCAGCCCTGAGGGCCACCATCTATAGGGGCCAGGGAACCCTGAGGGCCACCATCTACAGGGGCCAGGCAGCCCTGAGGGCCACCATCTACAGGGGCCAGGCAGCCCTGAGGGCCACCATCTACAGTGACCAGGGGCCAGGCAGCCCTGAGGGCCACCATCTACAGTGGCCAGGGGCCAGGCAGCCCTGAGGGCCACCATCTACAGTGGCCAGGCAGCCCTGAGGGCCACCATCTACAGTGACCAGGGGCCAGGCAGCCCTGAGGGCCACCATCTACAGTGGCCAGGCAGCCCTGAGGGCCACCATCTACAGTGGCCAGGCAGCCCTGAGGGCCACCATCTACTGTGGCCAGGCAGCCCTGAGGGCCACCATCTACAGTGACCAGGGGCCGGCAGCCCTGAGGGCCACCATCTACAGTGACCAGGGGCCAGGCAGCCCTGAGGGCCACCATCTACAGTGGCCAGGCAGCCCTGAGGGCCACCATCTACAGTGACCAGGGGCCTGGCAGCCCTGAGGGCCACCATCTACAGTGACCAGGGGCCAGGCAGCCCTGAGGGCCACCATCTACAGTGACCAGGGGCCAGGCAGCCCTGAGGGCCACCATCTACAGTGGCCAGGCAGCCCTGAGGGCCACCATCTACAGTGGCCAGGCAGCCCTGAGGGCCACCATCTACAGTGGCCAGGCAGCCCTGAGGGCCACCATCTACAGTGGCCAGGCAGGCCTGAGGGCCACCATCTACAGTGGCCAGGCAGCCCTGAGGGCCACCATCTACAGTGGCCAGGCAGCCCTGAGGGCCACCATCTACAGTGGCCAGGCAGCCCTGAGGGCCACCATCTACAGTGACCAGGGGCCAGGCAGCCCTGAGGGCCACCATCTACAGTGACCAGGGGCCAGGCAGCCCTGAGGGCCACCATCTACAGTGGCCAGGCAGCCCTGAGGGCCACCATCTACAGTGACCAGGGGCCTGGCAGCCCTGAGGGCCACCATCTACAGTGACCAGGGGCCAGGCAGCCCTGAGGGCCACAAACTACAGTGGCGTCTTCGTGAGAGGACAAGCTGTCATGTGTACATTCCTTAATCTAATAATTCTGAATCAGGGGACTTGTTCCGTCTTAATTTAATAACTTTCTGTCAAGCACAAGTTAACTTGTTCTTTTCACCACATTAAAGAAGTGTTCAGGTGCAGGTACAACATTCAGTTGTTCTCTAGCACATACAGACAAAGGTGACGTTAAGAAGCTTGCCCAGACTGTGATGGGATGTAACCGGTCGATGGTTGGACGAGGTCCCTTGATCTTAGATGGAAGGGGCTCCCCTCTCTCGATAGGGACAGGCTAGGGGCTCCCTCTCCTGATAGGGACAGGCTACGGGCTCTCCTCTCCTGATAGAGACAGGCTATAGGTGCACAGCAGCACTGCCTCCATCACCAACAACACATTAACCGCCGCCATCTTGCAGGAACTGGTGGCGGCAGTTGAAGATGGCGACCTGCAGCGCGCGCACGCAGCCATCGTCCGGGGGGCCGACATCCGGTGGACCCCACGAAGGGACGAGGAAGGCAGGTCACTCTGCCTGTTGACCCGGGCGGCTGAGCTGGGTCACGCCCCCTTGGTGACCCTCCTGTTATGGAAAGGACTCCCCGTGGACGGGGCTGGTGAGTCCCTACGGTCACCGCTACACTGGGCGGCCCATAAGGGTCGTGTCGACGTAGTGAAGATGCTGATAGATGAAGAAGCCGACCTGAACAAGCCGGACCTACACGGTAAGGGGAAATAATTGAGCCTGTGGACGAAGGTTCGAGCATGTTGTACTACCTCAATATTTATTCACAGAGTCATAACACTTGTGATTTTCATCGTGGTATGACACGACTAACATCAGTAGAACGAAACCTCTACATATTTCTCTAATCATGGCGGCTTTATTGACATTTATTACACACTTTGAGCACCAAAGTACTGCAAGGTTATTAACAATAACAACCTCGGGTTGTTAGGCTTACTAGCTCGTAAACTGCTTAATAATTGTAACCAAAGCTCCTATGATTGAGGAAAGGTTGTGGTTTTCTATTCAGCTTTTCAAGGTAAACTCAAATATTCACAATAAGTTAGTATGTCACATATGCGCTTATTCATAAGCAATATATTGACTATAAGCAAGTGCGAGAACGGGTTGCACTTTCTAGTGTGTGGTCTGGTCAACATATTTTCCTCAATATGTAATATTTAATATTTTTCGTATAGATGAATTTTTCGTATTAGTCTAATATAAAATTTCATTAGGTAATATTTGTACATGAACAAAACGAATATTTGCAACCAGTTCCCATAAATTTTGGGAAACGGTGCTAAAATATTTTAATGCATGTTTGTAAACAAGTTCTTGGAATAAAAGAGGTGTGTGTGTGTGTGTGTGTGTGTGTGTGTGTGTGTGTGTGTGTGTGTGTGTGTGTGTGTGTGTGTGTGTGTGTGTGTGTGTGTGGTGCTAATGTTGAGTGTGTGTTTAGCGATGAGTGATGTTGAGTGCGTGTGTGTAGTGGAGGTGGTAGCGAGTGTGAGTGCAGCAAGACTAACACCTGGTGTTGAGTGCAGGCAACACCGCCCTACATGCAGCCGCCCGGGAAGGCCACCTCGCGTGCGTGGACACACTACTCAATCTCAAAGATGCCAACGGCGTTCCTCGATGCCACCCCGACCTTCAAAACAACATAGGAAGGACGCCATTTTACTTCGCTGCCGGTGGTAACCACATAGCTGTGATGAAGTCACTGGCACGTGCTGGCTGCAACATTGAAGCAAAAGACAATGAAAATAACACAGCGTTGCACTCTGCAGCATATTTCGGAAGTCTGGAGGCGGTACAGCGTCTGGTAGTAGGCGACCTTATCTCTAATATCCCCGAGGGACTTAAAACTGACGTCAAGAACAGTGTTGGAAACACACCGGCGGACGAGGCAAGTGCGGAGGGTTGGCATCATGTGGAGTGGTGGCTGAAAAAACAGCTTACTCGACCCGACTCTGATGACTCTGATGTCCAACATCCGTTGGACAAAGTTGTAAGTTTGTGTTATAACTGTTATGTTATTAGTCGTCTTCTGATCTTACTTCTCTCTCTCTCTCTCTCTCAGCACCTTCCGCCTGTCTCGTGCCATCTTGGTTTTTGATGGCCTAATGTTATGAAGTAATATCATACTAATGTCATGAAGTGCCTAATGTCTATCATCTTCAGGAGTGTTATGACGGGTGCCACAAGTACTGACCCGCCGCCAAGTATGGGCAATATATGGCACACGTGCCGCAAGTAATACGCCAAACTTTATTTTTTGCTGTCATGCACACACTCTGTTATTGGTCACTCAAACAAAGCTTTTTAATTATGGTTTCAGTCACATCTTTCTCCAATAGCACCTTTTAAAAACTCAAAAAAATAATTTAATCACATGCTCTCAAAGAGGTTCCCCACCTCGGGGGCTCCGGCCCCTGAATGTACACAGTTTAGGCCTTAGGTAAACTCCAAGTGTTTATAAAGAGGAATACACCTCTTAGTGTATTAAAGTATACAATACATCCCTTTACATACGTATATAACATTATCATATTCATAAACAGTTACTGAGTATTTGGTGAGAACTTTTCCTACAAGATGGAAATATTTAATGTAAAATTTCCATTCTGCTTTAATAAATAATTTGATATTTTCGTTCTTGCACAGCGATTCATATTTACTAATATTTTATATATACATATATTACCCATACTAATGGAAATTTTAGTTGCTTCTAATTATATATCTGTTGGCAGAACCGGTGTGTGAGGCGGTGTATGGGTGACTATGACACAATGCGGGAGAAAATCGAGGACCGCTCACTTGGCTCAATTGTTAAATTTATTCCGTATATATATGACGGACACCAGCAGGACGACACCGGCAGGACTTACCTACATTGTGCTGCTGAGTTAGGGCTGACCGATGTGGTGGAGGTCCTCCTGAAGAAGTGCGGACTGTACCCACACGTCCTGACCTGGGAAGGTGAGAGTCCTGCTGACCTGGCGGAGCACAAAGGTCACTTACATCTGCACCACTATATCAAAAGGTACCCACACGGTATGGACTCGGGAGAAGAGTCACCAGAACAGCTGTACGAGAAGCTGTTGGAGCTCATCAGCAAGCGTGATGACGTCAAGAAGGCAGTAGAGTTACTGCAGAAGGGGTCGCCGTTGGAACCCTTGGGAGAGTGTAGGGTTTCCGCTCTGTGTTCGGCCATCACCAGTAACCGGCCCAAGATCGTCAGCCTCCTGGTGGCTGCAGGAGCGCCGCTAACTACCATCTCTAGTGGCCTCAACCTTCAGACGATGGCCTGGCACTCTCCGGACGTCTCTCTTCTGGTGAAGGTCGCCATCAAAAGGGTCAGTCACCACCATTATCCTCTCACCCTTGTACTGTAGCGTCACGTCTTCAGTCAAGAAATATGTATATTGCAATCATATTCCAAGACATAGTTCCCATATAGTCTAAAAAATTATTTAAAAGTGTGTATTGTGTTTGCAGGTGTTCACGCTGGTTCTGAAGCATGAATTGAATAAGCTTCAACAGCTGCCTAAACTTGTCACAGGTGTCAATGGACTCGTAACCGCCTTAGAAGGCAAGGAACCCAGCAGCGCCAAGTGGCCTCACGCAGGAAAGTCTTCAGTAAAGAGCCTCACGGAGCTGATGGTACACGCTGCTCGGGCCAAGTGTACCTTAACCTGTAGCTACCTGTACCTGGCTGGCGCTGAGGCCTCCCTCCGCCCTGGGTCAGGTGTGAGTCCCCTGCACACTGCACTGAAGGCTCAGCACTGGAGGCTGGCGGAGCGGATGGTCCTGGACATGAACGGCTGTCTCTATGTTTCTGACTCCACAGGTCACTTACCCGCTACCATCCTGCCTCCAGAGTCCCGCCAGCCACTTGAGGAGGTCAGTGTTCAAGTGTTGATGATAGATATATTATATATCTATAGATATACACTAATAATTTCATTCACCAGTGCAATAGGAGCCTGGAGGACGCGACCTCCACCACCCGAGACGAGGGCTCCGTCGGCCTGGCCACGAGCTACCAAATGTCACTATTCAGTATTGTGGTTTAGAATTTATATACCTAAAAATATAAAAATAATGGAAACAGAAATTATGCCAATTTCTGTCTCCATTATTTTTATATAACATAATACGCCTGGGACCGTGAGGGGTGTTTCAGGCGTAGGTTAGACATACACAAGGAGTTTGTGGTAGATATACAAAGGGACTGCCTTGTATTGGGTTGTATCAACATTCTGGAGTTTCTACCAATTCCTCAGGACTGTAGCTTTACACGCGACCAGTCAAAAGAAAGATGGCCAGACCACACACTAGAAGGTGAAGGGACGACGACGTTTCGCTCCGTCCTGGACCATTCTCAAGTCGATTGTGGCTTGAGAATGGTCTAGGACGGACCGAAACGTCGTCGTCCCTTCACCTTCTAGTGTGTGGTCTGGTCAACATACTTTAGCCACGTTATTGTGACTCCTCGCCTGCATATGAAGATAGTGTGTAGTGAAGCTGTAATATAACGGGGGGGGGGGGAGAGGGGGGCATGGAATAAGGGTGACAGAGGGTAGAGGGGGTGTGAAGGGGGAGGAGAAGGGTGAAATGGGAAAGATGGGGGAAGAGGCATTTTTCAAATTGGTCAATAATATAATATGTTTCTGTGCTTATATTTAACCTCATCAATAATGACCCAGACTGTACGTGCATTTAAATATTTTCCACTAGTCTTGCTTAATAATTTTAATACAATACTGAAATAGGAAAACAATTAGGTTCATAAATTTTCTGAAGCACTATGTTGTATAAATCTTAGATATCAAAATAACTTACCAATTGCTTACAGAGTATTTACATGAAGGAAAGGAGCCAGCTGCAAGACTTGCAGGAGAAGATAAAGAGCCAAACTGAGAAGCAACAGCTGCAGGATGTCGTGGAAGTTCAGGAGCGGCTCTTCGCTACCTACTCGAGCCAGGCAACAGACAACAGGACAGCCAGAACCAGTTCAACAGTGTCGCCCACGGATAGCTATGCTCTCCTGGTGGCCTCGCGGAATGGGCTTCAGCAGCTGGTGTACCTGCTAGTGAAGGTCGGAGGCGTGGACGTCAACGCACCAGTGGATCCCACCGGTGACACCACTGCGCTCCATCAGGCAGCTTCTCATGGCAAGTCTGGCTGCCTCCTCCTGCTCTTCAGTCTTGGCGCCGACCCGCTCCTGCGTGACAGATATGATCAAACTCCTCGTCACTTGGCTGCAATGTTCGGCCACAAACATTCTTATAAACTTTTAACTCAACTTCACAGGAAGAAAATTCTACGTAACTTCTCGAGTCCTCAAGAAGTTAGAAGAAAACTTCCTACTCCTCAAAAAGTAAGCAAAAATTTTGATAAATATTATAAAAGGTACGTTGACTTACCTTCAACAACTCCACAAAATGATCAAACGAGAGCTACTATGCATCTACTTAAAGAAATTAAGATGGAAGAGTTGGAGAATGATGTAGAGGCTGCTAAGGTTGACTACACTAAAGGAGAAGCAAAGATGGTTAAGGATGCCGTAATGAAAGAGCTTAAGGAGATTACAAACGTGATTTCAGTTGAATGCCCAATTTTTGGAGGACAACTCATCTTACTTGGGAGCAGTGAAGATGGCACTCGACTCTACTATCCTGATGAGTACGACGTCAATCTTGTTCTTTCAACGAACGCCAGCTTCAGTGTCAGGAAGCAAACAGACGCAGAAGTCCTGGCCAGTGGACACGAGAGTAAGGTGCAGCTGGAGACACAAGACCACATCCTCCGTGGTAACAACCTGATAACAAAGTTTTATGAGCGAGTCTATCACTGTCTCAAGAACTATACTTTGGATAACAAAAAGCTAAGTCTGGTGCCACCTGGGCTGACCAGGACGCAGGTGGGCGTGGCACTGGCACTGGCCTGGCAGGGAGAGGAGTATCCCCTGTTGCTGGTCAGCGTTGATTTAGTGCCTGTGCTGGAAGTCCCTTGGCTTGAGGGGATCAAGAGACCTCTCCTCACACCAGACACATCACAACTGATCCACCTCAGCAACACACAAGATGGATCCTGGCGATGCAGCTTCGCCTCAACAGAAGTGTCGCTGCTGAAGGGGTTGGACCCCACGGAGTACCAGGTATTTATCACCTGCAAGTTTCTCCTCTCTCGCATGAAGGCTGAACCCTGGATGCCTAGAGATCAGAAGAACCGGTTTTCCTGGTGGGATTCCCGCTACTGGAAAGTCCCGACTCCTGCAGGATTCTGCCTCAAGAACGCCTTCTTTCAACACTTGGAGGAGAAGCGAACAAACGCAGCAACGAACGCGAGCACGAACGCGAGTACAGAACACAAGAAGATATTGACAGTGAAATCCGTGTTCAGAAAAATGTGCTTGGATATAATTTGTCCAAATTGCAAGAATGAGAGACTTGTGCCAGGTAAAGTAGGAGCTTACTTCGGAAAGGAATGCGAGAGGCCCAAAGTGGGCGAAGGAGCTCCGGAAATTGTCAACTCTCTTGAGACATATTTACAAAAACTTTAAGAACGTTAAGCTGGTCTCTTGGGCTCAGACGGCCCCCCGTGGACCAGCAAGTGACAGTCTTGTACTTCAGGGCCCTCAGACGGGCCCCCCGTGGACCAGCAAGTGACAGTCTTGTGCTTCAGGGCCCTCAGACGGGCCCCCCCCTGGACCAGCAAGTGACAGTCTTGTGCTTCAGGGCCCTCAGACGGGCCCCCCCTGGACCAGCAAGTGACAGTCTTGTGCTTCAGGGCCCTCAGACGGGCCCCCCCTGGACCAGCAAGTGACAGTCTTGTGCTTCAGGGCCCTCAGACGGGCCCCCCCCTGGACCAGCAAGTGACAGTCTTGTGCTTCAGGGCCCTCAGACGGGCCCCCCCTGGACCAGCAAGTGACAGTCTTGTGCTTCAGGGCCCTCAGACAGAAGGAGAATGAACAGATAGATTGAATAAAGAAAGTGACAAGAGAAAAAGTGATAATGGGAGACCTGAGAAAGAAGAGAGAAAGCAAATTAAAATAATAAAAAGGTGACCAAAATAAAAGGAATAGATGAGAAGGATGTAGTAAAATGGGTCCTTGTAGTATAGTTGGCTTCGTTCTCAACTCACAATCTCAAAGTTTGAGTCAACTAGAACTCAAAGATCTAGGAGTTGATATCACACCAAACCTGTCTCCTGAAGCCCACATAAAGAGAATAACGTCTGCGGCATATGCGAGGCTGGCTAACATCAGAACGGCGTTCAGGAACCTGTGTAAGGAATCCTTCAGAATCTTGTACACCACATATGTAAGACCAATCCTGGAGTATGCGGCCCCAGCATGGAGCCCGTACCTTGTCAAGCACAAGACGAAGCTGGAAAAAGTCCAAAAGTATGCTACTAGACTAGTCCCAGAACTAAGAGGCATGAGTTATGAGGAAAGGCTGCGGGAAATGCACCTTACGACACTGGAAGACAGAAGAGTAAGGGGAGACATGATCACCACCTACAAAATTCGCAGAGGAATTGACAGGGTAGATAAAGATAAACTGTTCAACACGGGTGGGACACGAACAAGGGGACACAGGTGGAAACTGAGTACCCACATGAGCCACAGGGACGTTAGAAGGAACTTTTTCAGTGTGGGAGTAGTTAACAGGTGGAATGCATTAGGCAGTGATGTGGTGGAGGCTGACTCCATACACAGTTTATAATGTAGATATGATAGAGCCCAATAGGCTCAGTAACCTGTACACCAGTTGATTGAGAGTTGAGAGGCGGGACCAAAGAGCCAGAGCTCAACCCCCGCAAGCCCAACTAGGTGAGTGCAATCGAAATCGTATTCCAGGGACTTGCCCGAAATGCTACGCGTACTAGTGGCTGTACAAGAATGTAACAACTCTTGTATATATCTCAAAAAAAAAAACTGAATTTATTAAATCTTATTCTTGTATAAAATACAAGCTGATGTGAGATCCCTGTCAGTAGGTGGACTGGAACTTCTATCAACCAATTCAATTCACCCCACCTGCCCCTTACAGCCTGCAATCTGTCATTAGGCAAAGAGGAGCTAGGATTTACGACCCTAGCTAGAGATTTTAGTTGAATTAATTTGCAGACGGTAATTTTTAATTTAGTTCAGTACAAGTCCCTGGTAGTCTCCTCTCATATCAATCTCGACAGATTTTTCCCACACATACTATGCCTAGAGCCACTAATACACTCAGCGATTCGGGCAAAATGTGAACAATTTTTTTTTTAACTAAGACTTAAAAAGTAATTGAGATAAAAATCATGTGAATTAAACTGAAGTAGAACCAAACGAATGACAATAATTACATGTTATTTTGTATGTAATTTATGGGTGAACTTTTTGATATGATGGTGATGTTTTGTGTAATAAATAGAATGTTGCCAGTACATGTAATGTTAAGTAATTATATTAAGGCTTAATGCTCATAGATTTGACTTCTGTATTAAATATTGTATTTCCAGTAAATTAAATCTCTTGAGAAATCAGGTTTCTAAATATTTTTGCACTTTTCATATAATTGTTCCGTTTGATGCTCATGTACCAGTTTATTAAGTGTAGTTTGTACATTTAGTAAGAGTTTCAGTGTTGAAAATTGCTCTACAGAAGAGCAGGATTCCCCCCTCCATACGCCTAAGAGACACCATAGGCCTAAGAAACTCTTTTCTCAGGCTATGCAACATGCTCAATTGATGGTCTGGGTTCCCGTACGCTCAAAAACAAATATTTTACAGAATTCTAATCTATAATTATCTGAAAAAGATGGTAAACAATTTGTATTATAAATACCTCTCATGGACTAGCCTAGTGGCGGGAGAGAGCGCTGAGCCGCACACGTCCGCCTCCCACGGCTGCTGGGAGCCACTAACAAGTCTCTGTACTCTCATGAACCCAATTTACCTTCTTGTATATAAATAAATAAATAAATAAATAAATAAATAACAATAGCTCAAGGAACATATTTACGAGGCGGAGGAGAACAGTGACCAAGAAGGGCGTCAAGCGGCTCGGAAATCCCTCCGCACCACTAAGAAGGAATAATTAACTACTCTTAAAATCTTCGCTCAGAGAAGTTACTAAGTCACCAAAATGACTCAAGTGATATTATATGAAAATATATAAAGTATTTAAACTTGTGTAATGCTTGAGAGGAACGGCGCGTCTACCATTAAGTCTTTGTCGTTCAAAACTGCAATCATTTAAGATCTTTTAACAAGCTTTTCCAGGCTTAAGCTTAATTAAGCTCTAGGAAGCCTAATTCCAAGCTTCCTAGAGGCGTCATATACCTCGTACACACGCTATATAAAGTATAAAATAACATTTTCGTTATGTATATTATATAATCTTCTCTGAGTACTCTTTATTTTCTTCTCCGAGGCTATGTACAGGATACAGCTCGGTAAATATCTTTTTACGTGTAAACCTGTCCATCTTTTCTCAATCTTTGGCGGCTTTGTTTGCAATTATTAAACAGTTAATGAGCTCCGAAGCACCAGGAGGCTGTTTATAACAATAACAACAGTTGATTGGCAAGTTTTCATGCTTGTAAACTGTTTAATAAATGTAACCAAAGCCGTCAAAGATTGAGGAAAGATGTACACGTTCGTAAGTGCTTGCGTAACTGCTTCGTGAATCTAGCCCCAGGTTCGTAAGTGCTTGAGTAACTGCTTCGTGAATCTGGCCCCAGGTTCGTAAGTGCTTGCGTAACTGCTTCGTGAATCTGGCCCCAGGTTCGTAAGTGCTTGCGTAACTGCTTCGTGAATCTGGCCCCAGGACAGTTAAGCGACAATTTCTCAACTACAAGATGCTAACTGCCACTCCAAGACCCGACAGACAGACAGACACGATACGACAGTTCAATATACACAAGGAATTTGAGGATAATAAAAGCGAGGATTGGGTCGTGCTGCCAGACGTAGAAGTCGTAAACAATCATTTTCTGCCGGGAAGAAATGGACGACGTGATTAATGACAGAGAAACATGACAGAATGCTAATTCCTTTCTTCATGGAGAGGGATTTGTCTGGTGTGTGTGTGTGTGTGTGTGTGTGTGTGTGTGTGTGTGTGTGTGTGTGTGTGTGTACTCACCTAGTTGTGCTTGCGGGGGTTGAGCTCTGGCTCTTTGGTCCCGCCTCTCAACCGTCAATCAACAGGTGTACAGATTCCTGAGCCTATTGGGCTCTATCATATCTACACTTGAAACTGTGTATGGAGTCAGCCTCCACCACATCACTTCCTAATGCATTCCATTTGTCAACCACTCTGACACTAAAAAAGTTCTTTCTAATATCTCTGTGGCTCATTTGGGCACTCAGTTTCCAACTGTGTCCCCTAGTGCGTGTGCCCCTTGTGTTAAATAGCCTGTCTTTATCTACCCTATCAATTCCCTTGAGAATCTTGAATGTGGTGATCATGTCCCCCCTAACTCTTCTGTCTTCCAGCGAAGTGAGGTTTAATTCCCGTAGTCTCTCCTCGTAGCTCATACCTCTCAGCTCGGGTACTAGTCTGGTGGCAAACCTTTGAACCTTTTCCAGTTTAGTCTTATCCTTGACTAGATATGGACTCCATGCTGGGGCTGCATACTCCAGGATTGGCCTGACATATGTGGTATACAAAGTTCTGAATGATTCTTTACACAAGTTTCTGAATGCCGTTCTTATGTTGGCCAGCCTGGCATATGCCGCTGATGTTATCCTCTTGATATGTGCTGCAGGAGACAGGTCTGGCGTGATATCAACCCCCAAGTCTTTTTCTTTCTCTGACTCCTGAAGAATTTCCACTCCTAGATAATACCTTGTATTTGGCCTCCTGCTCCCTGCACCTATCTTCATTATATTACATTTTGTTGGGTTAAACTCTAAGAACCATTTGTTCGACCATTCCTTCAGCTTGTCTAGGTCTTCTTGAAGCCTCAAACAGCCCTCCTCTGTCTTATTCCTTCTCATAATTTTGGCATCGTCCGCAAACATTGAGAGAAATGAATCTATACCCTCCGGGAGATAGTGTGTGTGTGTGTGTGTATGAGTGTGTACGAGTGTGTGTGTGTGTGTATGAGTGTGTGTGTGTGTATGAGTGTGTGTGTGTGTGTATGAGTGTGTGTGTGTGTGTATGAGTGTGTGTGTGTGTGTATGAGTGTGTGTGTGTGTGTATGAGTGTGTGTGTGTGTGTGTGTGTGTGTGTGTGTGTGTGTGTGTGTGTGTGTGTGTGTGTGTGTGTGTGTGTGTGTGTGTGTGTGTGTGTGTGTGTGTGTGTGTGTGTGTGTATGAGTGTGTGTGTGTATGAGTGTGTGTATGAGGGCGGGAGGGCGGTAGTTGACAGGAATGCACGTCACCAGCCAATCAGGAATCAGTATAGTCCGACATTCCAATGAACCGGTTGCCTCTGTGCTTGGTAATTACTCTCCCAATTATCAAGGTTTTGTAATCATACAAAATTCACTGTAATTGCCTCGTTAGGACTGGCATACAGTCACTCAGGGGTGTGTGAGTACAGCCGCCATTGTGTATGTGTGTATATATACTTCTGTGTATGTGTATGTACGTATATTGATGTATATATGAATGTACATTTATGAATATATATTTATGTATGTACGTGTCGTACCTAGTAGCCAGAACTCACTTTTTGGCCTACTATTCAAGGCCCGATTTGCCTAATAAGCCAAGTTTTCCTGAATTATTATATTTTTTCTAATTTTTTTCTTATGAAATGATAAAGCTACCCATTTCATTATGTATGAGGTCAATTTTTTTTATTGGAGTTAAAATTAACGTAGATATATGACCGAACCTAACCAACCCTACCTAACCTAACCTAACCTATCTTTATAGGTTAGGTTTGGTTAGGTAGCCGAAAAAGTTAGGTTAGGTTAGGTTAGGTAGGTTAGGTAGTCGAAAAACAATTAATTCATGAAAACTTGGCTTATTAGGCAAATCGGGCCTTGAATAGTAGGCTGAGAAGTGCGTTCTGGCTACTAGGTACGACATACGTATATTTATGTATATATGCATACGGGCATACATAAGGGGAGAGAGAGAGAGAGAGAGAGAGAGAGAGAGAGAGAGAGAGAGAGAGAGAGAAATACAGAAAGAGAGAGAGAGTGCGCGCGTGCGCAGGCGCCGCGACATTCTTGCCCCCCCCCCAACTGTCACTCACCGCCAGGGAGAATCGAACCATTGCTCCACGTTCCAACACAGTGGTAACCACACCACCAGTTGCTGTGCCGGTATATCCATGTGACTATAATACCTATACACCACCTGTGTATTTATAACGTGGACGACGTGTATTTCCTATAGTTCCATGGACCAAGTGTATCATAACACACGATATTTGCGGTCACAAGGCGTGTATATTTATATATTTTTATACTGATGACATTGAGTTAAAGTGGATAGTTTAATATAAAGGTATAACTGCTGTAATTAACGACTGAAGTTGTTATTACGTTCAACCACGGATAAACAAACTCGTCAAACAAACACAGAGCAACAAACCCGACGCACGAGTGGGGGGAAGAAAGTCCCAACGAGGCTAAACAAACGCATCAAGTCCGCCAGGGAAGACGTACCATCGACGTCACGTCAACAGATCGCCCATCACCGCGATATATCGCACCACTCGTGTCAGGATGGGATGTACCAGCAGTGTGGCGTCAGTACCGGAGGACGAGGCACTGGCGGGCACCTCGAGCACGGCCGTCGAGGCCCTCAACACGGACTCCGGCACAGCAAAGGCACTTGAGGGTAAACTAAAGGATGTCGAAGAAGAGGAGGAGGATCTGCAAGTCACGGGTTCGAATACCGCCGCTTCAGACAAGGGCGCCGCCGCTGACGACACGGCCCTCTTGAACGATGCTCTCCAGACTCACGATCGTCCAGCTTCCAGGAAGTCTTCAGCTGGGTCAAGAGCTTCCTCACACTCCACCAAGTCCAAGTCGACCAGGTCACTCACCTCGGGCAAGTCCAAGTCGACCAGACTCACAGACTCGCCCAAGTCCAGCGCCTCGACCAAGCCATCGTCGCCCGCCCCAAGAACCGTTCTTCCTGGTGCAGTTCCCCCTTCAACAGAAAACGAAATACAGGATGACTCTCTTTTATATGAAACTGAAGAACTTGATGACAAAGCTGTAAATAAAGAAGATGAAGGTGAGAGCTCTGAAGTTTTGTCGAGAAATGGTGAATTACTCCAGAAAGTCTGCATGGACTTAGAAAGGGTAGCAGAAAACCAGAATTCTGAGTCAGCCTCAAACCATAATGCAAACGGGAATCCTGAGTCAGCCTCAAACCATAATGAAAACGGGAATCCTGAGTCAGCCTCAAACCATAATGAAAACGGGAATCCTGAGTCAGCCTCAAACCATAATGAAAACGGGAATCCTGGCTCAGATTCAAACCATAATGAAAACGGGAATCCTGAATCAGCTTCAAACCATAATGAAAACGGGAATCTCGAGTCAGAATCAAATCATAATGAAAACGGGAATCCTGAGTCTGCCTCAAACCATAATGAAAACGGGAATCCTGAGTCAGCTTCAAACCATAATGAAAACGGGAATTCTGAATCTAAAACATTTCAGGAACAAACCCAAAATATTGAACCTTCAAGAGAGGAAAATATGAATCCTGAGCCTGTTAGTAACCATGAAGAAAACGAGAGTTGTGTGCCAACAACCAGTCGAAAAGAAAATGGGAATACTGGGCATTCAACAAATCATAAAGAAAACGAGAACCTTGAGCTTTCAACAAGTCAAAATGAAAACGAAATTCCTGAAAGTCTTAAAGAAAACGAAAACTCTGACCCTGTGTCAGAAAGTCAGAAAGAAAACGAGAATACCGAGTTTATGTTATATCTAAAAGAAATTGAAGCTATTGAAAATGAAATACATAACAAAGAAAATCCGATTTCCGAGAAGACACCTCATAAAGAAAACGAAAATTTCGAGCCGTCATTAAACAAGGAGGAAAATGGAACATCAAATTCCATGGCATCAGCAGAAGGGAGCAATGAAAACGAGGCAAATGATCCACTTACATACGTGAAAGAAAACAGACAGAAGTCGGCCAGATCTATTTTATCAACCATATCTTTCTCTTCTCCCTCCTCCTCCTCCTCTGCCAGGTCAGCAAGACTGAGAAACAGGAAGATCCGAGGAAATTCTTCCACTGCTTCTCCCGCAGAAAACGACGAAACGTTCCCAACTTCTACGCAAAATGGAGGAGCTTCAACTTCGTCTAATTTTCGACCAACAGAAAATGGACAAATGTATATAAGCTCGTTGACAGAAAATGGAGAAGCAGATGCAGACTCGTTGAACATCCAAGCATTAGAAAAGGGAGAAATGCTTGGAAATTCAATAGTGTTCCCAGGAACAGAAAATGAAGTAATGGAGACAGAAAACAGTGACCACGTGGCAGTTACAGCAACAAATGAAATGGAATGTCCAACAGAGAATGGAGGGATCTTTGCAGTTACAGAAAACGGGATAATAGACCCAGAAGAGCATTCAAATGAGCCAGTCATAGAAAATGGGCTACAGGTATCAACAACAGAAAATGGGACACCGGCACGTGCAACAGAAAACGCAGGAGAAACACCAACACCATTAACAAATTGTGTTTTACCATCAACTGAAGGTCAGTTTCTGTGATAATATTTGTTAGTATGTCATATGTAAATATAATTCACGGGGGGAGGGACTGTTGAAAAATGTACAATATTATATTCCGACAGAAAACTTGATACAATTAACAGATTTCACATATTATTTTAGATTTATTATATGGTCATTTGCTAGTGGTTTTACCATGAGTTACATTTGTTCAAATAAACTCTTATGACAATATTTATCTCAAAAAACTATTAATACACACATCCACTCAGTACCTATAGTATCTACATCAATATGATGCACACACTTCTATTATGTCTTTTACGCATTAAACATTATATGCACCAGTCCCCACTAGGTCATTATCTATTAAAGTAGTTACTCTCAGGAAGATTTTGTTTAGTTACTCACATATTTCCTTATCGTTTTCTCGCTGATTGTTTTATAGTTATCTGGGTGTTTACAAATGTTTTCTTCCTGATGTGGGTGTAGAAGCTCAGGTTGTTCTCTTGCCTTAGGTGCTGTCATTCTCGTATTACTTCTCCCATTCTCTCCTGATTCTCAGATATTCATTATTTTCTCCGCTGCAGTTGTTATACGGTTCTCATCTCTACGAGTCTACAAGTTCAAAGCTATTTAAGAACGACTATTCTTTTTTGCACCAAGACACTGTTAAACCATGGAATGACGTATTGCTCATTGCTCCATTATCCCTCAGTATTAAAATTATTCTATTTTTAGCCCTTGAGCATTTATAAACCACAAAAGGCCCGAGATCTGTAAATTGGTATGCATTTACATACACATTTACATCTGTGACTGTTGTGTCCTCAGACTTCCGCTCGCCAACAGGGTTATAACTCTTCTGTTCCAGCATTCCCTTTTCTTATGATTTGGTGCCTGACAAGCACTGCATTAGTAAATGTCACATAAATTTTTATCGGCCCCAGTTGTGCAAACGTGATCAGCCATACATGTTATTTCTGCTCATTTACTTTGTTGGACATCCCCTCAACATTTGTATGTCAAATCTTTTGACTGGTACTGAATTAACTGTGAGCTGCTTGGTAGGATGGGCGAGGGGTAACGGGCTGGATGGAAGAAGAGGTGTAGAAGAAAGAAGAAGAATGAGAGGAAGAAAATGAGGGGAATGTGAAGAGGTGTGTGAGGAAGAGATTGAATAGTACGAGTAGAAGGAAGCCGAAGTGATATTGCCTAAGAAAATGGTTAAGTAGAGGTTTGTGGAGTAATGTTTAACGATGAAGCTAGGAGATAAGTTGATGAAGCTAGTGTAGTAGTTAATGAAGCTAGGATAGCAGTTGACGAAGCTAGGATAGTAGTTGATGAAGATAAGGTAGCAGTTAATGATAGTAGAGTAGTAGTAGTAGTTGATAAAATAGTGTGACAAAAAATATTCTTAAGGTTCTAATCATCCACCAGCAAGTCCCCAGTAGGAATAAGATACTGTAAACATCAAAAGCCACTGTATTCTATCGTGACTGTAGTGTGCTATTTTCTAGGAATATGAATAGTTATGTAACTACAACATTATGCACTCTGAATTGTTGTAATATTGATTTATTTACCAGACCTATGCAAGATGTATAATTTTACAGCAGTTACATATTAGATTCAGTAATTATATATCACACGAACTAATACAGTTTAGGGAGATTTCATTCTGAAAATACATTCCCAACATCGCCAGTGTGTGTGTATGCCCTGCATACCACAAGCATTTACAGAGGTATGTGAGTATGCTTGCCCGCGCATACTTGCCGCATACCAATCAAACATGCGCGTGACCAGAGTATGGATGAGTCACCCCCGAATGTGCCAAGTCTAGGCTTTGCATACCACACATACAAAAGTATACAAATACACCACAAACTCAAAAATGCGTGCCTGTTTACCTACATACATAAATATACATTCAGATTTGCTACATTCAAGTTAGAGGTAATTATTTGTAGATAATTATATTGTTGGATATCAAAAGGGGAGCTTCAAATATATCATCTAACTATATTGTCAGGCAAGAATGATTTTATAATCAATCTTATAATATAGGAGATGTATCTAACTTTGCAAGATGACACATGGTGGGTATGAGTAAGTCATAGGCCAGTCGGAGTTGGTCCCAGTGCCCACTTTAAGAAATATCAGCATTAGTGATGACCCTTCTTCGATTTCCATAGAGTATATAGTAGAGGTTGTGCTTTATAAAGAGTTATTTAGCAGTTTTCTCAGTGCTTCTTAATATGTAATTTTCAAAGAGAGATGAGAGAGAGAGAGAGAGAGAGAGAGAGAGAGAGAGAGAGAGAGAGAGAGAGAGAGAGAGAGAGAGAGAGAGAGAGAGAGAGAGAGAGAGAGAGAGAGAGAGAGAGAGAGAGAGAGAGAGAGAGAGAGAGAGAGAGAGAGAGAGAGAGAGAGAGAGAGAGAGAGAGAGCAGAGGGGAAGAGAAGGGGAATGTTGGAAAAAAGGGAATGACAGAGGAGAACGAGAAAGGTGGATAGGTAAGAGAGGAGTGTGGAGAGGGACGGAAAAGAATAGAGAGGGAATGTAGAAAGATAGAGACGGAGGAGAAGGGAAAGGGAAGGGGGTTCAGGGGAAGCGAGATATACTCCATCCTTCTCTTTCTCAATTTTCCACCCTCTTTCTCACTCTCCATCCTCTCTCACCTCTCTACCTTCCCCTCCCCCCCAATCTCTCTCTCTTTCTTTAAACACCAGAAATATTTATATTATGAAGAGCTGAAACTGTTAAAAAATCTTGGGAAAACAAATCTCCGATTTCAGACTTCGTGAAAATCACAAAGGGGTTGCTTTAGATACTAATATTTCTTAAAGAGTGATGCTGGGTCCAATCCTGAGTGACCTATGTCACTCCCTTAACCTCCCCCCCCCCACCATGTATCGTCTTGAAAATAGTCTACTTGTTAACTGGCAAGTGAACCTTTGTCCTAAACAGAGAAAATCCTCAAGTTAGAATTTTATTGCATTATAAATCGTTGGTTTAAAAAATAAAAAGTCTATGCATAATTCCTTTTCTTTGAAATGGTCTAAAGAATAATGCTTTCAATTTCAAGCAGTAAATTTAATTCTAGGGGGGGATACTCAAATAATTTTTTAATTTCATGTTTAACATGTCTGATTATAATACACCGTATTAACGTAACCAAATATAATGAAACCTAACCTAACCTAACCTAACCATAAATACGTAATAGTTTCGGAGTGATCACCTCCAGGGTACCTTCCCTGAGAACAGGTTATGTCAAAGTCCTGGGAAGACGGGACACCACGAGCGTAGATCTCATCCTGTAACTACACTTAGGTAACTACACTCAGGTAACTACACACACACACTAGTTTTTAGAAACAAAAAATTAGGTAAAACATATATATGACATTAAGAACTTACGATACCCATAAATTGGAAATGTTAGAAGGGTGAAGTTGTAATACCCCGTCAAGGGCAGTAGGTATGAGTATGAAGGGACTAACCTACCTTCCTGTAGACACTGCAACCCGTTTTCGCACTTGCTTATAGTCAGTATCTTGCTTGTGAATAAGTGCACATGTGACATACTAATTTATTGTGAATATTTGAATTTACCTTGAAAAGCTGAATAGAAAACCACAACCTAACCTTCTTAGTATGTTAAGATATTACAATTAGTACTGAACTTATACCTATATTGATATTACAGTTTTATAAAAATAATAAAACAAAACTAAAATATTTAAATAAATTGTAAAGTAACTCAGGATATTGTCAAATTTTGTATAAAATCTCTATTGTTTAATAAAACTGAGAGGAAAAGTTAGTGCCTTGAATAAAATATGGCTTAGAATACGTCATATATATACTTATTTATAAGTGAAATAGTGATGACACTGATAGGTAAATACTGTTCGGTAAACACATATACAACCAGCTTGAGCAGTAGGCGGGGTACAAGAGCTAGACCTCACCTCCCTCTAGTCAGACAGATGTAAACACCCGCCGCATACTTAACATTGCCTCCCTGTGCGTCATCAGTCAGGAACTAGCATGCGACGATTCTCTCGGAAAAACCTCATAATACGACCATTGACCAGTCCTGAGGTAACTGCCCCCCGCGCTCAGACTTATGGCTTCTTGAGCGACACATTCAACCACTCGTTGTGTAATTATAATGGTCGATTGCGCTGAACATACCGTATGTTTCACGGTAAGGAGAAGGGGACACTCTTTGTCCATACTAGGCAGCGCCTATTTATAATTAACCATATCCATACATTTGCCTGCGAGCCACCATTACTCAAAAAATCTTGACGGAGACAATGTAAGGACTTAACTGCGCTAGACTTATCCTAAATCATACAACCTTCTTGTGCATTCAGCCTACAAATGCCGTTTTTGCTTGGAAATACTTGTTTAAGTAAGACCTTCACCGTAGAACATTTATAACTGCGTACAATCACATATATACAAAATTAATACTAATTATTTATAAAATTATTACAGCAAAATAGAAAACAAACAGGAATATTAATAACAATAATTTAATTTCCTTTCTCTGATTGCAGGAGCAAGCTCGACCTTCACAGGAGTTCTACAGGATCCCCAGAAGGAGGCTTCACAGCCCCAAACATTCAAACCAAGAGCCCATCAGATCCAATCAGCGCGATCATTGACAGTTTCCATCAGTGATCTTCTGAGTGATAGCGACCTGGTCAGCAGCAGTGAATCTCCTTCAAGGTCTTGCAGTGCTAAGGGGGTTAAGGGAAGCTCCAAGTACACGTACAGTGATTCAAAGGGTGATCCTTCAATCATTAGGGGGCACTCGGAGAGCCTAATGAATGGTTTCACTTACTTGACGGGTCATTCAATAGGCAAGAATGGTAAATCGAAAAGTTTGAAGGGTGACAATGTAAGTTTTAAGGGTGACAATGTAAGTTTTAAGGGTGACAATGTAAGTCTGAAGGGTGACAATGAAAGTCTGAAGGGCGATAATGTAAGTCTGAAGGGCGACAATACAAGTCTGAAGGGTGACAATGTAAGTCTGAAGAGCGACAATACGAGCCTGAAGGGTGATAATGCAAGCCTAAAGGGTGACAATGCAAGTCTGAAGGGTGACAATGCAAGTTTGAAGGGTGACAATGTAAGTCTGAAGGGTGACAATACGAGCCTGAAGGGGGACAATTCAAGTCTGAAGGCGGACAGAGTAAGCCTGAAGGGTGACAATTTTAGTCTGAAGGGTGACAACGTAAGTCTGAAGGGTGACAATGTAACTCTGAAGGGTGACAATACAAGCCTGAAAGGTGACAATACAAGCCTGAAGGGTGACAATACAAGCCTGAAGGGTGAAAATACAAGCCTGAAGGGTGACAATGTAAGCCTGAAGGGTGACAATACAAGCCTGAAGGGTGACAGTACAAGTCTGAAGGGTGACAATGTAAGTCTGAAGGGTGACAATGTAAGTCTGAAGGGTGACAATGTAAGTCTGAAGGGTGACAATGTAAGTCTGAAGGGTGACAGTACAAGCCTGAAGGGTGACAAAGTAAGTCTGAAGGGTGACAATGTAAGTCTGAAGGGTGACAATGTAAGTCTGAAGGGTGACAGTACAAGCCTGAAGGGTGACAATGTAAGTCTGAAGGGTGACAGTACAAGCCTGAAGGGTGACAAAGTAAGTCTGAAGGGTGACAATGTAAGTCTGAAGGGTGACAATGTAAGTCTGAAGGGTGACAGTACAAGCCTGAAGGGTGACAATGTAAATCTGAAGGGTGACAATGTAAGTCTGAAGGGTGACAATGTAAGTCTGAAGGGTGACAATGTAAGTCTGAAGGGTGACAATGTAAGTCTGAAGGGTGACAATACAAGCCTGAAGGGTGACAATGTAAGTCTGAAGGGTGACAATGTAAGTCTGAAGGGTGACAATACAAGTCTGAAGGGTGACAATACAAGCCTGAAGGGTGACAAAGTAAGTCTGAAGGGTGACAATGTAAGTCTGAAGGGTGACAATACAAGTCTGAAGGGTGACAATACAAGCCTGAAGGGTGACAAAGTAAGTCTGAAGGGTGACAATGTAAGTCTGAAGGGTGACAATACAAGTCTGAAGGGTGACAATACAAGCCTGAAGGGTGAAAATGTAAGCCTGAAGGGTGACAATGTAAGTCTAAAGGGTGACAATACAAGTCTGAAGGGTGACAATACAAGTCTGAAGGGTGACAATACAAGTCTGAAAGGTGACAATACAAGTCTGAAGGGTGACAATACAATTCTGAAGGGTGACAATACAATTCTGAAGGGTGACAATACAAGTCTGAAGGGTGACAATACAAGTCTGAAGGGTGACAATACAAGTCTGAAGGGTGACAATGTAAGTCTGAAGGGTGACAATGTAAGTCTGAAGGGTGACAATGTAAGCTTGAAGGGTGACAATGTAAGTCTGAAGGGTGACAATACAAGTCTGAAGGGTGACAATGTAAGCCTGAAGGGTGAAAATACAAGTCTGAAGGGTGACAATACAAGTCTGAAGGGTGACAATATAAGTCTGAAGGGTGACAATGTAAGCCTGAAGGGTGAAAATACAAGTCTGAAGGGCGACAATACAAGTCTGAAGGGTGACAATTTAAGTCTGAAGGGTGACAATACAAGTCTGAAGGGTGACAATGTAAGTCTGAAGGGTGACAGTACAAGTCTGAAGGGTGACAATACAAGTCTGAAGGGTGGCAATGTAAGTCTGAAAGGTGACAATACAAGTCTGAAGGGTGACAATGTAAGTCTGAAAGGTGACAATACAAGTCTGAAGGGTGACAATGTAAGTCTGAAGGGTGACACTGTAAGTCTGAAGGGTGACAAAAGAAGCCTGAAGGGTGACAGTACAAGTCTGAAGGGTGACAATGTAAGTCTGAAGGGTGACAATGCAAGTCTGAAGGGTGACAATACAAGTCTGAAGGGTGACAATACAAGTCTGAAGGGTGACAATACAAGTCTGAAGGGTGACAATGTAAGTCTGAAAGGTGACAATACAAGCCTGAAGGGTGACAATACAAGTCTGAAGGGTGACACTGTAAGTCTGAAGGGTGACAATAGAAGCCTGAAGGGTGACAGTACAAGTCTGAAGGGTGACAATGTAAGTCTGAAGGGTGACAATACAAGTCTGAAGGGTGACAATACAAGTCTGAAGGGTGACAATACAAGTCTGAATGGTGACAATGTAAGTCTGGAAGGTGACAATACAAGTCTGAAGGGTGACAATGTAAGTCTGAAGGGTGACACTGTAAGTCTGAAGGGTGACAATACAAGTCTGAAGGGTGACAGTACAAGTCTGAAGGGTGACAATACAAGCCTGAAGGGTGACAATACAAGCCTGAAGGGTGACAATACAAGTCTGAAGGGTGACAATGTAAGTCTGAAGGGTGACAATACAAGCCTGAAGGGTGACAGTACAAGTCTGAAGGGTGACAGTACAAGTCTGAAGGGTGACAATGTAAGTCTGAAGGGTGACAATGCAAGTCTGAAGGGTGACAGTACAAGTCTGAAGGGTGACAATATAAGTCTGAAGGGTGACAATACAAGTCTGAAGGGTGACAATACAAGTCTGATGGGTGACAATGTAAGTCTGAAGGGTGACAGTACAAGTCTGAAGGGTGACAATGTAAGTCTGAAGGGTGACAGTATAAGTCTGAAGGGTGACAATACAAGCCTGAAGGGTGACAGTATAAGTCTGAAGGGTGACAATAAAAGCCTGAAGGGTGACAATGTAAGTCTGAAGGGTGACAATACAAGCCTGAAGGGTGACAATACAAGTCTGAAGGGTGACAATGTAAGTCTGAAGGGTGACAATACAAGCCTGAAGGGTGACAATGTAAGTCTGAAGGGTGACAATGCAAGTCTGAAGGGTGACAGTTCAAGTCTGAAGGGTGACAATGTAAGTCTGAAGGGTGACAGTATAAGTCTGAAGGGTGACAATAAAAGCCTGAAGGGTGACAATGTAAGTCTGAAGGGTGACAATACAAGCCTGAAGGGTGACAATACAAGTCTGAAGGGTGACAATGTAAGTCTGAAGGGTGACAATACAAGCCTGAAGGGTGACAATACAAGTCTGATGGGTGACAATAAAAGCCTGAAGGGTGACAATGTAAGTCTGAAGGGTGACAATACAAGCCTGAAGGGTGACAATAAAAGCCTGAAGGGTGACAATGTAAGTCTGAAGGGTGACAATACAAGCCTGAAGGGTGACAATACAAGCCTGAAGGGTGACAATGTAAGTCTGAAGGGTGACAATACAAGCCTAAAGGGTGACAATACAAGCCTGAAGGGTGACAATGTAAGTCTGAAGGGTGACAATACAAGCCTGAAGGGTGACAATACAAGTCTGAAAGGTGACAATACAAGTCTGAAGGGTGACAATACAAGTCTGATGGGTGACAATGTAAGTCTGAAGGGTGACAGTACAAGTCTGAAGGGTGACAATGTAAGTCTGAAGGGTGACAGTACAAGTCTGAAGGGTGACAATACAAGCCTGAAGGGTGACAATACAAGTCTGAAGGGTGACAATACAAGCCTGAAGGGTGACAATACAAGCCTGAAGGGTGACAATACAAGCCTGAAGGGTGACAATGTAAGTCTGAAGGGTGACAATACAAGCCTGAAGGGTGACAATGTAAGTCTGAAGGCTGACAATACAAGTCTGAAGGGTGACAATACAAGCCTGAAGGGTGACAATACAAGCCTGAAGGGTGGCAATACAAGCCTGAAGGGTGACAATGTAAGTCTGAAGGGTGACAATACAAGCCTGAAGGGTGACAATTCAAGTCTGAAGGGTGACAATGTAAGTCTGAAGGCTGACAATACAAGTCTGAAGGGTGACAATACAAGCCTGAAGGGTGACAATACAAGCCTGAAGGGTGACAATGTAAGTCTGAAGGCTGACAATACAAGCCTGAAGGGTGACAATACAAGCCTGAAGGGTGACAATGTAAGTCTGAAGGCTGACAATACAAGTCTGAAGGGTGACAATACAAGCCTGAAGGGTGACAATACAAGCCTGAAGGGTGACAATACAAGCCTGAAGGGTGACAATGTAAGTCTGAAGGCTGACAATACAAGCCTGAAGGGTGACAATACAAGCCTGAAGGGTGACAATGTAAGTCTGAAGGGTGACAATACAAGTCTGAAGGGTGACAATGTAAGTCTGAAGGGTGACAATACAAGCCTGACGGGTGACAATGTAAGTCTGAAGGCTGACAATACAAGTCTGAAGGGTGACAATGTAAGTCTGAAGGGTGACAATACAAGCCTGACGGGTGACAATGTAAGTCTGAAGGCTGACAATACAAGTCTGAAGGGTGACAATACAAGCCTGAAGGGTGACAATACAAGCCTGAAGGGTGACAATGTAAGTCTGAAGGCTGACAATACAAACCTGAAGGGTGACAATACAAGTCTGAAGGGTGACAATACAAGCCTGAAGGGTGACAATACAAGCCTAAAAGTAATTCCCAGAAGTCTAAGGGGAGGTTATACAAGCATTAAGGATGATTTAATACGACTGAAGGATGATTATACGAGTGTGAATGATTCTACAAGCATACAAGATGAGGCTTGTATCAGTGGCTATCATTCTGGGGCTGATACAAGTCCCAAGGGTGATGCTACAAGCCTACAGGGTGACTCAAGAAGTATGAATGGCTTCACTCCAGGCACCAAGGCTGAATCCACAAGCAACCAATGGCTGCTTTACAAGCACGATTCACTAAACCTTAATGTAGATACATTAAGTGTGAAGGAACTCACTACAAGCACCCAGAGTGAGCCATCAAGCAGCCAATGGCTGCTCTACAAGCACGATACTCTAAGTCTTACTAACGACTCAACGAGCGTCAAAGACCTGTCAACAAGCATTAAGGGTTGTTAGTCACTCTGTTAGCCTAAATGATCTTTGTAAACAATGTCTAAATAGTTTACAAGCGTCATTTACTGTTGGATAAGCCACAATGGGTCTTTGTACGGGCACAGAAGACAATCCTTATCAGTGGTGATTGTTTAAGTATTGTGTCAGACATCATTGATGATTGTACAGGCATTGAGTCAGTCATCAGTAGTGATTGTACAGGCATTGTGTCAGTCATCAGTGGTGATTGTACAGGCATTGAGTCAGTCATCAGTAGTGATTGTACAGGCATTGTGTCAGTCATCAGTGGTGATTGTACAGGCATTGTGTCAGTCATCAATGGTGATTGTACAGGCATTGTGTCAGACATCAGTGGTGATTGTACAGGCATTGAGTCAGTCATCAATGGTGATTGTACAGGCATTGTGTCAGTCATCAGTGGTGATTGTACAGGCATTGAGTCAGTCATCAATGGTGATTGTACAGGCATTGTGTCAGTCATCAGTGGTGATTGTACAGGCATTGAGTCAGTCATCAATGGTGATTGTACAGGCATTGAGTCAGTCATCAATGGTGATTGTACAGGCATTGTGTCAGACATCAGTGGTGATTGTACAGGCATTGTGTCAGACATCAGTGGTGATTGTACAGGCATTGTGTCAGTCATCAGTGGTGATTGTACAGGCATTGAGTCAGTCATCAGTAGTGATTGTACAGGCATTGTGTCAGTCATCAGTGGTGATTGTACAGGCATTGAGTCAGTCATCAATGGTGATTGTACAAGCATTGTGTCAGACATCATTGGTGATTTTATAAGTAATAATAAGTGTAAATATTAGTTCTTGGTAACAATCAAGCTATAATGATTGATTGTGACTCAACAATCAGGAACACTGAGTCAGTCTACAATTGTCAATAGATGCATCACAGATAATTGTATTATCAAAATTTGTGGTAACCCCATTTTTTTACAATTTATTAATAATTCAATTAAATATATTTTATTAAAGCGAATTTTGAATATATATATATATATATATATATATATATATATATATATATATATATATATATATATATCACCTCTGGTTGGATAAATGGTGGGACCCTTAGCCCAGAGAAGAGAATAAAGGGCACTCAAGAGACCCTTTGCAAGGTCTGTTCTATCATGGAAGTATCAACAATAAATTCAATGATCCACGAGGCTGTTGTGTTTGCTTCCAGTATAGAAGAAATACAGATTATATGGAGAGAATGTTATATTAAACAGTCCTGGGACTTATGCCATTGCATTTGCAATGTTTGCAATGGTTGTGAGAGGTTTTAAGTGTTTAGCAAACTATTAATTTAATGGTTAAAATATACATTGTTAAAATTAGCTGTGTATTGTGAATAATTAACACAGTTTTCTGAAAATTATCAATGAATAATTTTCATTCTCTTCTGAAAATTGGCAATGTGTTTCAATATATATATATATATATATATATATATATATATATATATATATATATGTGAAATTATACATTGACTTGTATAAATAAGTATTTTTCTAATGCAGAGTAAAGTATATAATCTTCACTTGAATTTTTTTTACTACAAAAATTTTGGCAAATAATATTTATATAATTTTAAAATATAAACTTTTTTAAAATTCTCGATTTTAAAATTCTACAAACTTATGGAAATTTTTAGATATTCAACAAAATTTGGTAATTTAACAAATCTTGAAGTAACAAAATCCAGAAATTGAAATAAATTAATACTTTTAAAAATCACGAAATTAAACAATTCAAGAAATTAAAAAAAAAAATAGAATTTAAAAATCTAGAATTTAGAAATAATTCTTCAACTTTATATTTTTCTTCAATAGTTTCATGAGTGTAAATCGCCGCAGAGTTTAAAATTCAAATTTATTTGTAAAAAAAAAATTCTTGCACTTTTAATAAAATATAAAAAGTAAAATAGTTTTATTAAATTATGTTTATTTCAGAAATAAATATCAATAATAATATTAGAACAAAATGAAGATTTTATTAACCAAAATTAACTTTATGTTAGAACTGAATTATTTTAACTAATTTATTTGGAAAACTTTGTAAGAAAACAAATCTTCAAGATCTAACAGAGTATTTGAGTGTGTCTGTGAGTGTGTGAGAGTATCTGTGAGTGTGTCAGTGAGTGTGTCTGTGAGTGTGTGAGTGTGCCTATGTGTGAGTGAGTGTTAGAGTGTGTCTATGTGTGAGTGAGTGTGTCTATGTGTGAGTGAGTGTGTCTGTGAGTGTGTGAGTATGTCTGTGTGTCTGTGAGTGAGTCTGTGAGTGTGTGTTTGTGTTTGTGAGTGAGTGTGTATGTGAGTGTGTGAGTGTGTATGTGAGTGTGTCTGTGAGTGAGTCTGTGTGTTTGTGTTTGTGAGTGTGTGTTTGTGTTTGTGAGTGAGTGTGTCTGTGAGTGTGTGAGTATGTCTGTGTGTGAGTGTGTCTGTGAGTGAGTCTGTGAGTGTGTGTTTGTGTCTGTGAGTGTGTGAGTGTGTGAGTGTGTCTGTGAGTGTGAGTACAAGAGGAAGAGCGAGGAATGTACACTAACACAGTGGTGCCAGACTAGAAAGGTTACCAGAGCAAGGTGAAGATCGATACACGTGGCAACACTGTCCTGAGCCAGAATTAAAAATTGTGACGTCGTTGTGACGTCACAGTGACGTCACACACCTTGTACGTGCATTCCTTAAGTGGAAAAACAACTATTTTCGGACTAAGACATACGAGGCAGCTCACTCATACATATGTCTAACCTACGCTTGAAACAATCAAACAATCCCTATTAGACATATAGGCCTAGCAGACATAGGCTTATTTTCAAAGCTATGGCTCCCAGTGTTGCCAACTCGTGTCAACAATATATTTCAAGGTATATTATATAATTTATATAATTCCCGTTGTCGGGGGATAGAAAGTGGCAGTTAGGCTTATTGGGGCCTCCCTAGGCCTATAGGCCAGCTTCTGGTTTAGGCCTATAGGTCTTTCTGCCCTTCCCGGGCATGAACTCGGGTCCATCGAGTGAGAGCCGCCAACGAAGACTACTAAGCTAACCTCTGGCCAGTTCAGGTAATATTAAGGACTGAAAATGGCGCCGGGCCCTGTGGTAGTGAGGTCTCTGGTGCCTGTTGCTCCCTGGGGCAGAGTTCGAATCCCCTTGATAAACAAGGATGTCGCTTATGTCCTTCTGGTCCTCACTAGGGACCAGTGACGTCACAAGTTAGAAAAACAAAATAACTTTTATAGGATATTGTTTAGAATATATTATAATATATAATATATAGGTCTAATAATGTTCCCGCCAAGTGCGTGTTATATATTATATAAAATTGTGAGGGAAGATGTAAATATTTTAAGGCATTGTTGTGAGACAGCGTCGACACACACACACACACACACACACACACACACACACACACACACACACACACACAAAGGTCAATAATGAATTGTATATTGACTGTTCATATTACAACGGTTTGGGAGTTACTCTGACGGCGAGGTTAGTGACCCCAGGTGAGAGAGAGAGAGAGAGAGAGAGAGAGAGAGAGAGAGAGAGGTGAAACCTAGGGGGGGGGAAGGATGCCAGCATGAGACAACATTGAAGGAACAGGTGGAGCTGGAAGAGGTGGAGTGAGAGGGGGGGGGGGGTCTTGGTGCTTTAGGAGGGTGGGGGGGGGGAGACAGACAAAGACAGTAATGGGGTCGTGAAGGGGACGATTGATGGATTGATTCCTCGTTGACGGGGAGGGAGGAAGGGAGGGAGGGGGTGTAGGTATAGGTAGTCAGGGAGGGAGGAAGGGAAGGCTAAAGGTAGGGAGAGAGAGAGAGAGAAGGAGGAAGGGTAGGAGACAATGAGAGGCATCTTGAGGTTATCTTGAGATGATTTCGGGGCTTTAGTGTCCCCGCGGCCCGGTCCTCGACCAGGCCTCCATCCCCAGGAAGCAGCCCGTGACAGCTGACTAACACCCAGGTACCTATTTTACTGCTAGGCATGAAGGAATACATTTAACTACCATCTCCATGTATAAACTACACCATTCATCCTTCAACACCTTAACTATCCTCCTGGTAGTGTATCCTGGTCACCTGGTGCCGCCCCTGACGGTCATGGCGGCGTTTGTTGCATGTTGCTCACTCAACATGTTATTGATGCAACACTAACTTGGTCTAGTTAACACACCCGGCTGGAGGGCTGTTAAGGCCACCACAACACCTTACTAACCTTCTAGTATATATATATATATATATATATATATATATATATATATATATATATATATATATATATATATATATATATATATATATATATATATATATATATATATAATTTTAAATTGTAGGGACCCACAGCCTCGAAGAAGAGAACACAGAGCATTCAGAGAAAAACTAGCAATTTAACTCTGAATATGTTTGAGTGTTCACTTGTACCACCTCCTGTTTTTGTTTATTATTTATGTTGTACACTTTATTATACACGATAACAGAGTTAAGTTACATATCTAGTTACAAACAGTGAACATTAAGAAGATACAAGAGGACGTTTGCTTCCTAGAGGCTGTAGATTTCCTGGAACTCCTCCGACGCCGGGCAGGAACCGAGGACGCAGCGAGCATTCCCCCTCTGGATCGTGACACTGAGGCGCTGAAAGATAAAACTTGCCGCTCTAGAGTCTCTTGTGGTGTCAATGAGCTTGGAACCAAGATCCTTAAGAAACCTTCTTGCACTCTCTCCCCATGGGCCTAGGGTCTTAGACCCTTTTGAAGCGAAGTTGTACCGATGACCTAATTCCCTGTTCCTGGTTGACTTGTATCTTTCTCTGCGTGTCGCTGCGGCTCCTACTGTGCCGGCAGAGAGCTTGACATATGTGGTTGCCAGGGTGGATACGCAAGTATAGTCCCACGCCAACTGTCTGCCACCCTTCCAAGGACGTAGTGTGATTCCGTCTGGTCGGCCGGCAAAGCTAACAGATCAATAGATTGTGGGGCTCTCTCTCTGCTAGACACCGAGCAGAGGCGAGGCTCTTCTTAATGA